TAAAGCTGTTTTGTTGCATAATGGCAATGGGAGGTGTAGTCCATTGCATTTGGATGCCCTCAGTTTGGAGAAGTCAGAAGCTTGAGGGGGCTGTTGAATGAAAGCTTTCTCTGCTTGTGGGTGGAATGGTTCTCTGCAGCCAACCTGTGGTGCTGACTGAGGTCTCCCTCTGCTGGTAGGCAATGGGCAATGCCACTGTGGCCGCTGTGAATGCCACACAAACTACACTGGCAGTGCCTGCGAGTGCAGCCTGGATACGAGCGGGTGCACACAGGATGGTGCTGTGTGCAGTGGTCACGGGCAATGTGTCTGCAACAGATGCCAATGTGATGCAGGCTGGTTTGACAGCCACTGCAGCCGCTGCGCCGACTGCCAGACGCCCTGCGAGGAGCACAGGTGAGACTGCAGCGCGATCGTAGGAGGACAGGTAAAGCTGGGCAGGTGCAGGGAAGGGGAGGGATGCTCAGGAAGCAAGTGCCTGAGGCCCTTGGTGCTCAGTGACGGTGGGGAAAAGATGAATGTTTTGGATGAGATTTTGCAAATATCCTGATCGCTTGGACCAGGTTAAGCACAGAATGTACCCAGCAAAGTTGTCTCCTCCTACCTTATCATTCCAGAGGTGGTGTCCTCACGCTAGCATTTGCCAGTCTTTTAAGCAAAAGAGGAAGGTAGCTCATGGTTAAAGAAGTCACCACCAGTACCACTCACTTGGATTTCTAGTGTCAGGCACCCTGACTCAAGCTCCCGGAGAGACATGATTTGACAGCTAGTAATAGAAGAGCAGAGAAAGAGGCCCACATAACTACTGCAGCAGCTTTGCTGTACATTGGGAAAGAAACGGGTGGGTGAGGGAATAAACTGGTCTGATAAATGGGTCACTTGCCCTTGCTTTTGGATTATGTGAGGGCCACACTGTGTTGTTGTTTTTTTTGGGGGGGGGAAATGAGTTTCCCTTCCATAGGGCGAAGGTCAGCAACTTGGAGCCTTCTAGATAGGGTTGGAATGCAGGATTCTTTACCCACCACCCTGCTAAACATAGCTGGGGGCTCGGTGGGTGGGTGGGGGTTTGTGATTCAACAACGTCTGGAAGGCCGCCCCCCCCATCCCCAGCTCTGACGTCCTGCTCCCCGAGCCCTGTTCTTGCAGGGCAGTTGTGCCGTCCAGGTTGCTGAGGTCTCCTCCATGGTGGGTCGCCGTGATAGGCAGCCCAAAAGGGAAGGGGGGGATGAAGGGCAAACTCCATCCTACCTATTCTGTGCCTGTAGATAAATCTCTAAAACTGGAACCCCTGCTTCCTTCACATTGTATGGAATGCGTTAAGATTTTTTGACCTTTCCAGGATCACCCAGCTCAGACGGCCAAATATTTCCTCAGTGGGGGAAGGGGCTGGACTGGGAGAAAATTCTGTGGGGCAGGAGAAGTGGAAGGAATCAACCCTGGGCAAGGGCAGGGGGCAAAAAAAGAGTGGGCTTCTCTAACTGGGATTCTGCGCCCTGGCAGGGACTGTGCGGAGTGCAAGATCTTTGGAACCGGGCCGCTGAGTGGGAATTGTAGTACGTCCTGCCACCAGGCAGTGGAAGTGTCGCCCGCATTTCATGTGAACGAGACTTGGTGCCAGACGAAAGCAGACGACGGCACACTCTTCAGATACCACGTTGAAAAGGATGAGACAGGCAGAGTCACCTTGATGGTGAACACCAAAGAGGGTGAGTAGAATGAAAGAGAGGGAGGGAGTTTCTTGAACTTTGAATCCTAGATACACAGGAGAATGATTCTCTGCTTAGAATAGTCTTTCCAAGGGGCTCTCCAGGAGCAACAGATTGGCCACAGTGGAGAGACCGGTGCTGTATTGGGTAGACCTCATGGCAGCAGGTGTTGTTTGATGTTCAAACTCCCTCCCTCTCTGCAGGATAAAGGCCTCTACCCTCTTTTTTTTGTCCAGAGGGCCAATCTATATACTGTGTGTCTGTGTGTGCGTGTGCATGCATACGTGCTCTCTCTCGCTCTCCTGTCCTCATGAAAACATTTCTTCCTGCAATCAGATTGTTCAAAGCCTCTCTCAGAATCAGTGGAGGTTTTTAAGAACACAGTTCCAGATGATTTTTTTTCTGGCCAGGTGCAAAGATGCTATCAGTTGAAGTACTGTACAAGGGTTATTGTCAGATCCACCTTGTCGGGCAACTGAAAGAGGTGACGACAAAGCTTTCAGGTGTCTGTGATGTGAACATAGGAAGAAGCCACAGAATGAAGAAAATAAATCAAAACAGAGGCTGGATACTCCTTTCCTTTTCTTTGATGCAGTTCCTACCCTGTGCTAGCAATCCCGTACAGTAGCACTGCCTTACAGTATAGTATGCATTTCTGAATGAAAAGCCAAAGCTTGTATTACTCACCCTTCAAGAGCAGGGGAATTATGAGGCAGTTCCAAGTGTCCTTTTCGGAGAGCAAATCCCACTGAACCTACTGGAATTGAACAGAACCGCACTGCTAAGGGGCAACTTTCCCACGTCCGACGCTGGCTTTCTTTCACAGACACTAGCTATATATTTGTGCCGGTGACTTTCAAATGGGGAGAATGTGGCCCAGTTTAAAAGAGGCACTTTGAGCCCTGTGCATCCAGCCCAAGATGTTTCACTGTTGGGGTGAAAGTGGAGAAGAATGACACTGATCCTTTTATGTACAAGAAAAGAAATATACCACCGGCTGAATTTTACTTCTGCACTAGAGATGAGACGATGTGCATCACCTCAACTGAGGGCAGTGGGCTAGTTCAAGGAGTTAAAGACAACTTGTGTGGCTCACACAACTCTGACCCAATGCTGCCCAATACCCATTGTGGCTGCTGAGTGCCGAAACCACAATATACCTCCAAAAGTAATTTCTATAACAGACCAACATGGGGTACCTACTACATTACTCATTCACACTCACTCTCTCACACAACACACACAGAAACAGGCAGGGTTCTCCCTGCTGCTACTTTCCTCTGTGCTTGGTTCCAAAACTGGGCAGCTAACTTACACCCCATCCATGCATTCATTTTCCTCCTCTTCTCTCTGCTCCGCTCTTGTCACCAACATCCTCCACAGTGGGGAGTTAGTAGAGGTGAAGACAGGAGATGGGCATTCCTGCCCCGTTGGCTCTCTTCCACTGGGAAGGGAAGCAGGCAAGAGCAGGCTGGTTGGGGTAGGTGGCTCTGAGGTGGAGTGATGCTTCCTTTACCCCCCACTGCCCTCGAAAAAAGTGGTTATGGGGCAAGGAGAAGAATAGCCAAATAGTTGATATCAATATTAGCTTGATAGTCAGGCACTGTGTGTGTGACTCCAGGAGAAGGCTGTGTATATAAATTTAAAAAAAAAAGGGGGGGTTAATGAGAGGGGGAATGGGTGCCCGAGAGGCAGCTGGGAGAATGGATTTCTTCCATGGGGATTCCTCCACCTCCTTTCTCTCTGCCCTGATAGGTACTTCTAGGCAGACATTCAAGTGGGTGGTGCTGGGCTCAGTGCTGGGCCTGGTGTGTGTCGGACTGATCGTCATTGTGGGTTACCGCATCGCGGTGGAGGTCTACGACCGGAAAGAGTTCAGCCGTTTTGAAAAGGAGCGCAAAGAGGCCAAGTGGAACGAGGTCAGTGCCCACAGCTTCCCCCGTTGAAGGCCAGCTTTTGCCTCTCGCTTGGACTAGGTAGCTGTGTAAGTGCATGCTATTCACCGTAGCGTCTCAACTGTACCCACCAGCCCAGAAAGTGACTGGGTGCCATCCAGCTGGGCAGCTGCCTCTGCCCTCAAACCTATGTCCACCTCCCACCCCCCACCCCCCACCCCGATTAGGACAGCAGAGTGTGAAAAACTTGCAAAATACAGAGCTCTACAACCTGGAAAGGCAAAACCTGCAGACAAGAGTTGTATAAGCTACACTTCATTTTGTCTAATTATATACCTTCCCCTATCCCAAGACTGCCTGGCTAGCTCAGTCCATTAGGTATTGGATGTTGGAAGTTCAATTCCTCGCTGTCCCTCCTGGGAGTAGAGCCAACAGTTGTTGCCATGGGCAAGCTGCACAGTCCCAGGACGACCCCAGAAGAAGGGCGTGGGAAACCACTTCCGAGTCTTCTCTAACTAGAAAACCCTAGAAAGGGTCACCGTAAGTCAGAATTTGACTTGATGGTCCATGATGATTATTACGATTCTTAACCCAAGATTGCCCTTTCTGTATCAACAATATTCCACACACCAGTAATAATCTACAACCCTTTCCCATTTTGCTCCACCGTGCATTTTTGGACCTTCCTTTCCTCCTCCAAACCATAAGTGCTTAGAGTTGCTTTTGTGACCCAGGAGTGGATCTCGAGACACAATCTGCAGAATTGAGCAAATAGCCCCAATTGCTGACGGATGCAGGTTCTTGTAATGGATATATTTTAGTGATGTTCAATTAACTGTCACAAAAAAAAAAAATTATAGAGTCAGCTTGAGCAATGTGTTAATGGTTCAGGAGGAATTCTTTAAGTAGTAGAAAGCAGTCCACTTTGTACATCTTCCCCTGCTCACCCATCCAAGGCTGAACACTTTGTGGGTAGCAGGGTACACTGTGCAATGTTATTTGAAGTCATTAAATTACATTGCATATTTTTCCATGTGGCAGGACAGTTTCATTCCCTCTCAGTTCTGTGGAAAGAGAAACCAGAGCGGATCATCCCATCTGCAGATGTAGAAAACAAGTTTTGCACCTTTGCTGACATTTTCCAACTTTCTTTTATAGGCAAATAATCCATTGTTCCGGAGCGCCACCACTACGGTTATCAACCCCAAATACAGTAATTAAGAAAAGGAAAATAATAATAATAATCATAAAAAACAAAGTAATCACATCTTGAGAAGACAGCTCTACCGGGCTTTGTTTCCCTCTAAGTCCACAGCCAGTCCATGAGGCTCAGGAAGCTTGTAATGTTAAACAATTGGACCAAGGTGCCTTGTTTTCCTTTGCCCTCCTCACTCCTTTCTCCTTTTGTGTCATGTCCTTCTGGATAATAAACCTGAAGATAGAGACTGTGAGTTGTTTCTTATCGCTTAGGTAAGGAGCTGTGGCGAAGTGTGATACAAACAAACCATACAATGTAAACACAACCTCTTACGATGGATAGAATGTAGCTCAAGTGTGTGCAGCTTGTAGTCCCGCAGATATTGTTGGATCACAGAAACACTGGAGAATGACTTCACTCCCTGCAAACTTGAAGTGAAGATCTGAGGAATTACTATACCTAGCAGCTAAAAACGGAACCTCAAAATTAAGCCAGTAACTTTTACTGGCTCTTATTTCTGCAAATGTTGGAGGTTTCTGAGAGGGACGAAGAAGTAATATGTAAGGTTCTTGTTATTTTAATGTAAATTCTGAAAAGAGCACATCCAATTAAACTAATTTGTCCAGATAAAAAGTGTCTCTTGATTTATACTTTCCAGATAAAAGGGCAGCTCCTGTTAATAGATGGAAGGCCTTGTCTGTATTACTGTCCCCAAGTGGGGTGCTTTATTTTTTCCCCCTTGAGAATACAGGGTAACCAAGGAGTTATACAGCATTAAAAAGACCAACAACCTGACTCCTTACAACACAGCTTGTTGTGTGCTAACTGAGCCTGTTTCTATTTATTCTGCCTGGTTCCTGCCATTTCTCAGCTGTTCCCTTTAGTGTGGTACCGTATAGGGAAAGGGCCACGAAATATGTGATCAGAACACCTTTGCCAGAGTCCAGGTGAGAAGCACTGACGCCAAGAGGTGTCAGAAGGTAGGTTGGGGGAAGCCAGTACACTTTATTTTTTTTAGGATCCTAAATACAGAGCACAAAGGAACAGACACCACACTGTAATGGTAAAAAGATACAAGTTTATAACATCTTATAAAAACTACAGTTTAAAAGTGATCCTGCCCTTGGGTAACACATCCCTGTCCCAGATCCCTCCCCCGTAGCAAAATAAGATAATTAATGGGAAAGATAAGGAAGGAAAACAGTTCCCCCCTCCCAAAAAAAGCCATCAGACTTTGACACCAGACTGAAACCATAAGAGCAAATTGATAGATTGCTCCGTTGAGCTCGAAGTGCTAGGGTTTTTCCTTTCTCTTCCTGAGAACAAAAGGAGTGTATGAAAGCCAGAATGAACCGCAGGAACAGATCCTGTTTTATTTTTCTCTCCAATTCTCTTATCATATCCCCAAATCAAAGCCAGCAATCACTCTTGTCCACAATGAAGTTGCGAAGGCAGCCTGTGGCACCCCCCAAAGACCCACTGGTCGCTCTTGTACACCAGCCACCCGAACGAGAACAAGGGTTGCAACAGGTTTCCGATCACGTCCCTCGGACAGTCGGGAGCCTCCCATTTCCAAGGAGGAAGAAATACAAGGGAAACAGCCACCCCTAGACGCATTCCCTGAATGTATATTAATGGCACACCATTTAAAAGCATGTCTTAATTTAACAAAAGGTTGCGAGCAACCATTTGCAGTACGGCATGCCCTTTCAATAAAGTAATTTTTCCATCAGCATTCAGGTGCGGAAGACGCAGCGTTCACAGAGGGTGCTTGGAATACGACTTGGTGTGTGCACATATACGCAATACTACCGAAGCAGGCATTGCCATTTATGCAGAGCTGTTTCTACGCTGCAACCTCTCTGAACTGCTGAGCCACCTCTTCCTCTTTGCTCTCTGCTACAGTGACATCAGTGGGACTCCTACAAACTGCATCAACACCACCAAGACCATTCAAAAACAAGTGTCCTCACCACATTATTGTTTTAAACGCATGGGCTTCTTAATCTCAGTCTCCTGAACCCCTCGTCATGTTACAACTTTCTTCTGACACCATCACGTCCTTGTGCTATGATCTGAACAAACAAGATTAATTCTGAAACAAGGGTGACCCTTTGCACCTTGGCCACTGGCAGACAGTGAAACTAGTTTCAGTTCTGTTTTTACTTGATTTCACCATCGCAACAGAAACATATGAACCCTTTTACAAGTGCACTTTCCCTCCTTTAATTTCCAATTGCTATATAGCAAATGATGCTTCCAGATTGCTGCAATCAATTTATTTGATGGGAGTTTTCCCCTTTTTTTTCATTCTTTCCAAAAGTGAGACGGCAAATGCTATCTGAATTCCAATTGCAAAGGGTTTCGAATGGCTTTATTTCAAGCTGTCACTTTGGGGCAAGGAGTGAATGGTGTAAGATGCAGGCTTGAAAGATGTCCTGCCCACAGAAAACTACTTAAGTCAGTGAGAAAACTAAGCTGTAACCTTTCCCCCTGACATGCTAGTGTTCTGTGTGCAGGGTACTGCTTTTACTCAGTAACCTTGAAAAAGCTTTACCACATTTTTCTGTGGAACTGCAGTGAATACTCAGTGCGTGAAATCCAGTAAATCACAACTAGAGTGACTCTAGCTGGACTCACTGGAACCTACACAGATTTTGATTCACTAAATCCACAACAATTCAGTTCTCTGGATTTCAGCCACTGTAGAGTAATAACTGGAACCCGGGGCCTGGAGTCCCCTAATTACAACAAAGATCCACTTTGCAACCTTTCCCCAAAGTGTCCAGGGACCTGAAAACTCTGAAGATTTTTTCTGAAGTGGCATCCTTAAAAAGTGCTTAAGGAAAAGTGTTTAAGATGCAAAACCATCCTGCTTCAACAAACCATTCACTTTAATGTTAATTTGGGCCCTAGCTGAATGTGTTGAGATGGCTACTTGCAACAGGGGAAAAGCAGGAGGTAGCTGTGTGCCAACAGCACAAGAGATGGTTACAACAGCGGGGGGGAAAAAGACCGTTACCTTCTTCCCCACCCAGGCAGCTATGTTTGGCTCGTCTTCTTCTCCACCCACTCCTTTCTAAAGCGCAGCAAGATTCTGAGAAAAACCTCAACAGCAAAGATCACACACCTAGCACTGTTTGAGGTTAGTGACTTCCACTCCTTCTTCCAAAGAGGAGAGGGGTGGTTATTACAGAGCGGTGCAAGTACTCTGCTACCTACCTGTAACAAAAGATACTGGATGAATGTTCAACTGCAAACGAGGGCGATGGCTGTGAGCGGGCTGCACCGGCCAAGGGTCATCAGAAAACAAATTGTGCTTCTTCTACAACGCATAGAGTGCCATGTTTCAACAAAGGACCCAACACATGAAAAAGAGGCTCTCTTTCACATATTTTGTATCCTCTCTGCAACGGCCACACTACTGGCCACTCTCAGACGCTAGACACCACAAAGAAAACAAAGGAATCAACAGGTTTCGGTAACTCCCAAAAGAAAGGCTCTTAAAAACAAATGATTGTTGTTTACGAAAGAGGGATATACAAAAGTTCTGTTCCTTTCACATTCCCTCTTTCACGGGACTTCTGGGTGCCCTTTCTTTCACCCTCTGTCTGTTGAATTACCTCAGAATTTTTCAACCACTAGCTCTGTGAGGGCTATCAGCAGCCAGCCAGAAATCCCAGAAAGCAGGAATATTGAATCTGCAAGAGGGCCCGGACCTGTCGAAACCCTGTGGGGAGCTAGTGCTCTTTACTCCCGTCATTCCTTGTGGCTGTACAAAGCTCCTGGGGGCCTCCCTCCCAGAGGGTGCCGCCTACCTGTTCTCTTTCCATCTTGTACCCTTGCCTTTGTTGCCCCATTTTCCTGATTTGTGCGTGTGTGGAGGGGGAGGAGGATTCCTCCTTTCCATCTTCTGGATTATTTTAGCGCCTACCTGCCTGCGCCAGCCTGCCAGTGCCAGTGCGCCTCCTTGGGCTTATTTTTTTGGAAACCCATCCCGATATCTTTCTTTCATTTGGCACAAATGGGATCTTGCCGCGCAAGGCGATTCACTCAAGAGAAGCAGGCTTCCAGTCTGCCAACTGGGGAGATAACCAAAAAAGGCCATGATCTTTTGTCACACAGTGTCTCAATTACTGATGGACACAGGAGAAGGCAGAAACAATAATGATAACTATAATGTAATGTTAAGAGAGGATTTTCCTGCCTGACCAAGATCTTTCTGATACAACACGCCACTGCTTTATCCTGCGCTGTGGCTCAAGAATAGATCCTTCTGGATTCCTTCTAATGCTCTTCATTTCCACAAGCATGTTTTAAAGCACAGTTCTGCCTTTTCCCTTTTGGGATGACCATCCACAGAAACTTGGAAAAAAAAGCCATGCATTTTGATCAGGTTTTGTTTTTTTTTTAGTTTCATTTAAAAAGAGTTGGTCTTTTTTGTGTTGCTTTTTGCTGGTCCCGCCAATATGCTCAGGAGCTGTGTCAGCAGTTAGGCATGGCAACCACAAAGCCGAACAGAATTCTAAGTAAAGAGGTGATATTTCTAATTTTGGCTATAAATAAGTACCCACTTTCCTTTTACATAATAAAAGAGGAAGGGAGCAGGAATGAACACAGCAGGGGCTCTTTGAACTCAAGCTCTCTGTTCCAACCGTCTACCAGGAAAGCAGCCCAGAAGGTTTAAGATTCAGCATGCCTTGTCCCAGGACAGCTGGACCAACAGCTGGTTCCTTAGGAATACAGAACACATGGTGATGGAAGCCCTTCCTGAACGCCCAGTGCCTACCCAGGGGTCTCTGTGGCATCCAAACTCTGAAGCCAGGCTAGAGATGGTCTGGGAGTTTATCAAGTTTTAGCATTGCTGAAGCTAAGTTGGCAAGGTTGGAACACCACTCGGAACCCCATGTAAAGTCACAGTATTAAGTGTAATAAATAGAAATACAGATAGAGATATATTTAAAAATCCTCTCCCATATGGCACTATGGCCAAAATTCAGACTGACTATGGAAGGACAAGGACACGTAAGAAGCAAAATTGCCTAGGGAGGCAACTGCTTAGGAAATTAGAGAAATGAATGACATTGTAACAGAAAGAAAGTATTTCTAGGTTAAGAAGGGTTGTTTTCCAGCTCAGCCTGGAAGTGCAGCAACTGGAGTGCAACACTTACTGCACAGCTGACAATACAAAGGCCCTTTTGGCCCTAAAACAGGCTTTGAGTGAGGATAGAAAACGATCCAAAATCTCCAACAGTACTCTCTGGGGTGCAACCAGCCACTTCTAGGTCATTCCACTCCCCCCCCCCCAAGTGGTAGCAGAGGCTAAAGCAATAGATTGAGTTTAACCCTCTAAGGCAAGTGTTGGGAACCACTGCTCTAAGGCCAAAGGGGCAGAAGAGCCCTTCAATCCCTGGCATAAAGTATACTGCCTCTACCTAACACCTTTCCAGTAGTGTGTGTGGAAATATAACCTTTCAACATCTTTCTCTCACTTTCTGCAACACAGGATTAGAGGACCACCACCCATCGGTAGAGAAAGTTCTTCTACTCGGACTGGGAATCAGGACCCAAGAGCAGTTCTGACAGCAGAGAACTAGGAAGGCTCTTGTCGCTACCATCCTCCATGTGTGTGTGACCTTTGTTGCAACAAGCCAGGGCTAACAGCACTAGGCAGAAACACATACTCTGAATCAGGCTGATTTTGGAAAGAGCCATCATTTTCAGTTCAACGAGGCAGCCAAGAGCAACCGAGGGTGTTTGCATCTCTCCGCTATGCCGTTCCTAAGATAGCAAGGAGACCGTGTCTAGCCCAAAGCGATATAAACTGTTTTAAGAGAGGAAAGGGATACTAGATCTTGGCTCCCAAACATCTAGTTCTGAAGCACACAAACGTACGGGAGGAATTATGTATTTTATGTATTTAATTGGCACGTTCCAGGAGTTGTTGGACTGCCATTCCTCACCACCCCTGGTCAGAATGTTGAAAAGGGAAGGGATGATCACGCCCAACTTCTGGGCACCTTTGTGTTCCTGATCCCTCAGTTTTCTGAGCCCAAATTATTGCTCCCTGCTGGCAGAGACAAGACTTTTTGAGACTGGTGACATTGGGGTACAGCTGGCTGGCCTATTTAGGGGCAGGACGCTGGGGAAGGATTCTCATCCGAGAAGACTTGTGAATTGTGTGTAAAAGGATATTCAGTGGAGTGGGATCCTGAATGCATGGATATGTACAACAAAGGGGAGGGGAGGGACAGGAATCAAGCTTCCTGTGAAAGGTCAGAAGCTTCTTCCTTCACTGGAAGCAGCCAAGCGCGTCCCTCCGACCAGCAGAGCCACAAGCCTCTCACCTGTGATCCTCCCGGTGGGACCACCTGAAAGTACCCAGCAGCATACAGCACCTGCTCCAGCCCTTTTCCCTCAAAACCTGAAAAGATCCTAATCACAAGCCCAAGTCCCATAGGAGAATTAAAAAGTCCCATTGATCTCAATGGCAAAACTCAGAAGAGGCAAAACTCCTATGAGCCCTGGAGCCAAGATTCTTCTGCCACAAACCTGTCTCTTGTCTCTCCACTGCTTTCACGTCTCGGCTGCATCAAACAGTTGGGGGCTTGACTGTTCCTTTAACTTTGCAATAAGCATTAAAAAAAAAACCGATCAACTTGTTCATCACCTCCCAATCCTTGCAAGTCCAAAGGCGGGACACGGATAGCAGGTTGTAGGTTAATTGAGAACATCCAACATCATTATCTGGGTTTGCGGGACACCCGACTGTTCTTCTCAGAGCCTTTCCTGAGGCAAATGGTGATAACGTCAAAAACCACACACCCAGACACACACACCCGAAGTTTATCCAGAACTGCAAGGGGCTTCCGCTGGCTGAGAACCAGCTTGGGTCCATCCTCAACTTATTTACAGTGTCAAGACCTTGCCTGAGAGTCTGAACCCTGCTTAGCTCTCCCCCTGTCACAGGGGTAGGCCCAGCAGGTGAATGCAAGAGCAAAAAACCCCCAAACCCCCGAATGAACAGAAAGACCCACAAAGAATCCGGTCGGCTTGCCAGCTCCTTCTCCAATTCCCCTTTCCTGGCCGAGCCCTAAAGCAGCATCTGCGAGTCGGATCCTTTGCTTGAACAACCTTGGCACATTCGTTTGTGTCTCAGCAGCCGGTCTGTCCTGGAGAAGCTCTGAAAAGGAACAGAAGAGAGGCAAGAAGGATCTCAGGGTGGACCGCAGAAGCAAGCAATGCAAGGGTACACTTCCAGTATCAAGACGAAATGCTACAGCTCCAGTACCAGGAAGGCACCACACTCAAGAGCAGCTTGCTTTCATCGGAAGAACACGGCAGCGGAACTAAGAGCTTACAGAGAAAGTTCTGGCTGGTTAAGTCAGGTCAGTGTGTGAACTTCAGCCACCCACCTCCAGCTTCTTCGCCTTTAAGGACACCAGATTACAACTTTGAATGCGTTTGGTGTTACTTTTAAGGACACCAGATTACAACTTTGAATGCATTTTGGTGTTACTTTATATATATAACAGTGAGTATACAGATACAAAAAAGATCAAACAAACACCATACTAAATATATATATATTTAGTATGGTGTTTGTTTGATCCTTTTTGTATCTGTATGCTCACTGTTGTTAACTTTAAATACTGTCTTTTAATGATGTAAGCTGCCCTGCGTCCTTTGTAAGGAGAATGACAGGGTAACAATATTTTAGAATCATAGAAAAGTGAAGTTGGAAGGGGACTAATACGGCCATCAAGTCCAACCCCCTGCTCAAGGCAGGAATACAATCAAAGCACATCTGCCAGGTGATTATCTAAGTTTTTCTTGACTGCCTCCAGTGGTGGAGCACTCGCCAGCTCCCAAGGTAACTAGTTCCACTGCCGTACTGCTCTAAGAGTTGGGGAGCTTTTCCAGATATTCAACCAAAATCTGGCTTCCTTTAACTTGAGCCCATTTTTGCGTGTCCTGCACTCTGGGATGATCGAGAACAGATCCTGCCCCTCCTCTGTGTGACGGCCTTTCAAATAATTGAAAACTGCTATCATATCACCCCTCAGTCTTCTTTTCTCAAGGCTAAACATGCCCACTTCTTTCAGCCTTTCCTCATAAGGCTTGGCTTCCAGCCCCCTGATCATCCTTGCTGCCCTCCTTTGAACTTGTTAACTTGTTTAAATTAATCAATTAATTAAACTCCAAAGCGACACACCAAGTCACAACAGGCAGAATGCTCTGACGACCTTCTGGCTTCCTTCCTTGTCTGCCAACTTCCTTCTTACCATGAAGGCATCGATCCTCTTGTACCTCAAGCCCTCCTCACTACAGGTTCTCCCCCAACCCTAGGTGGCCTTGCCCTTCTTTATGTTTCTGCTGCAAGTGCTCTTCCCTTCCTCCTTCTCAGCTCACAGCCTTGTTTGTCTGACCTTCCTCGGTCCCCTGGCATTCTTGCCCAGCCGCCCGAAGCCTTAAGTCTCCTTCGCTACCCAGTATGCGGCCCTTCTGTCTCTCAAGCACTTCTTCAAAACTTCCTATGTGATTAATTAGCCAGTTATGGACTCCCTTCCTTGCCTCTTCAGGTCATATTCTTCTCCCACACTTTCTTCAGTTCCTCTTCTCTCTGTCCACTGCTGCCCTCTGCCTCCTCCCTTCAGCTTCTTTACCTTCAGGTAACCTGCCCTTTAACTAACAATGAGCCCTTGGGGCCTCCTACAAACCTTCAGCTGATATGACAACTCCCACTGTCTCTCCCATGGACTTAAACTGTCTTTAATCCCCTGACCAAATGGACACTACTTTGCCACTAATGCAACAAGGGGATCTACACCCACAAACAGGGAATATAGAATTCATGTTCCGCAACCACAAGAAATGACAACGTCATTTAAATAATGAGAACGGCAGGCAGCAAAATCTGGCAAACTTGTTTCATTCTCTCTCCAATTTCTTACTGCCTGAAAAGCAGCAAACACGTTGCCCTGAAGCTTGGAAGCCTCGTGTCTCGCTAGAGCCAGCCTTGACTAAACCACAGCGTCGCTGCATTCACCACTCTAGCTAAAGAAAGAAGCCACGGTCGGAGCGAACGTGACGGATGAATCGGCAACAGGCCTAGATGCTCCTACTGCTGTCTACTGGCACACACAAGAACTGGAAAAACAGATACCGTCTGGATATTATGACTATTTTTTTTAAAGTTGCAACCTTTACGCTTTATGAAGATGAAGATTAAAAACACACAATGTTTTGTGGAAGTTCAGAATCAGCACTCTGTACAGCGCTTTCTCCCCACCATAACTAGCAATAAACTATGCAAATAAAGCTAAAATTATGTCATTACTTGACTTGTGCGATACAGTATACGCATGAGAGAGCAGAATACGGACATGCACAAGACATATAGCTCTGCTGAAGCTTTATTCTCTCATTGTGTTAGGTCTGTTCAGTCCCCTCCAAAGAGTCTAAGTAAACGCGGCCCACACATTTAGTCTGCAGTCATAAGGACTAAAAATTTTTTTTGATATAAAATAAGTCTTGAAATCTCAGAACTTTATGGCAGATCCCATCCTTTTTTCAGTGGATGTGCAGGATGCACACTGCTCAAGGCATAAGCATAGGTAGCCCACTAATATATGCACAACCTGTCAAAAGACAGATTGCTTTACCATCCACTGCCGAGAGCCATCCCTGTCACTACGATGGGAATAGCTGGGTATTTCCAGGCACCTTGCTTGGCAGAGAGGAGCACTGCCAGTCCCAAATCTTTGTACCTAGTCAACATGCCATCCTCTCTCTCTCCAACCCCACCTTATCTTTCTCTCTCTCTCTCTTTCACGGCAGGGAGGCCTGCCACATGCCAGACAAAGGAGCCGAGATGTCCCAACCCAAAAGTAAAAAAAAGAAACCGAAACCCAGAAGTAGTAGGGGGCATTACTTGCAGGCAGCGCTCACACTGGTAGGGCTTCTCCCCACTGTGAACCCGCTTGTGGCGCTCCAGGTGGTATTTCTGGATGAAGCGCATGTCACACACATCACACTCAAATGGCTTCTCACCTGCAAGGAAAAGTGGACACGTTTTTTAGAAAGCAGGAAGGGATTCTTTATTTCAAGGACTTCGAGCTCCTACATTTAAGGGAGACAACCCGTCAGGCACCTATGACGAAAGCCAGAGCAAAGGAGAGCAGGGATATTCGACAGCCAGACTCCCATTTTAGTGGGACTCAAGCAGGGGCCTTCCTCGTGGACTGTGGCCCCCAACACTCCACAACCAAATGAAGCTACACTGCACACACCACTTTACTCTTTTTCCTAATCCTTATTTTTCTTGCTGCACAAAGGACCCCTTTTCTGGCCACGAGAGCGCCCGTCGGTCTCTAAAGCATCAGTGGGGTGGGCTGTGCCCTCTCAAGCAATTTGCCTCATGCAGGAAGCTGTCACTTGTGGTGAAAAGGTTGACCAGAGAAGTAGATCAGGTGCCCTTGACTTGCCTGAAGGAAGAGTAAAGGCTCCTCCACCACTCGATTCCACCGACAGCTGTGGTTTTGTTAATTGTGAGGATGCACAAACCACAGACTGCAGGAGAGATTAAGTGCCAAGACGGGCATGCACACAGAGATCTATCTGGCACAGTTAACTGAGCCATTTAAAGCTAGCAATACATCTTCAAGAATGTAAAATAGCATTTTTTTTTCTAGAAAAAATTTACCCTCCTCTTTTATCTAGCTTGACACAATATGGAAAGCACAAACCCCCCCCAAAAAACAACAACCAAAAAACACACACAAACACACACACAAAAAACCATCTAGCTTGACACAATATGGAAAGCACAAAAAAAACCACAAAACAACAACAACAACAAAAAACCACACACACACACACACAAAACCGCAACACCCCTTATTCCAGCCTCCTGCTCTGAGACATGGCCATCCATCCCATACATACTTCAGAGTGGATGTGATTTAAATTTGATTTAAATCACAATTTAATTTTTTTTTTTTAAAAAATCAATTTTTTGGATGATCTAAATCTTAAAATTATTTTTATTTACAGTAAATTGTGATTTAAATCAACTTGATTTTTTTAAAAAGTATTGTTTTCATCCAGACGTAGATGAAACAATCCAGATCTATGTGTTGTGAACCAAGAGTAACAAAAAAAAGGGGGGGGGCGTTGAAGATGTCTTTCAAACAAATTGTTCACAATGAATCCCACCAGCAAGCCAAGACACACTTTTTCTGCCTTGAAGGATAGCTGTTAAACATGCCTGAGCCTCTGGCTGTGTGCATATCAAAGGGAGAAGGGCCACCTAGTGGTGGAGGAAGGAATGATCACAGAGCTTTCCTGTTCGCAAAGGACAAATCAAAGGAAGTAGTTACTAAGGAGCTAGATAGATAGCTCAATTGTTTAGGTAGAGATTGGGAGTTCAATTCCCCACTGTGCCTCCTGGGAAAAGAGCCAGCCTGTGTAATCATGGGCAAGCTGCACAGTCCCAAGGTGTCTTGGAACAAGAGAATGGAAAACCACTTGTGCATTCTCTACCTAGATGTGAAAGAGCAGTAGATCCAAATGAGAAAGAGCAGAGTGAGTCGTCCCCTGAGCTACAGATGTTGGAACAGGAGAAAGTTATAGAAGTAGGGAAGACAAAAGAAAGTACTGTAAGGAGTTGAAAGTAGTTGAAGGAAAGGAAAAGGGATCAAAGGAGAAAGAGGAGAAGATTGAAATATGTCTAGTGGAAGAGAGAGGGGGAGAAGAGGGAAAGGAGTTAATTTTACCTGTGTGAGAGAAGGAGATAGGGGGGAAAAAGTGGGAAGAGACAGTGCAATATAAGAGGGAGAGAGGAGAAGGGGAGGAAGAAAAATATGATAGAACGCGCGGGTTGTCAGAAGACTTCCTGAAAGTGGGAAGAGACAGTGCAATATAAGAGGAAGAGAGGAGAAGGGGAGGGAGGAAGAAAAATATGATAGACTGCGCGGGTTGTTAGAGGACTTCCTGAATTTGAACGTAGGAGGGTTGCTACCAGATCTGGAAAAATCTAAAGAAAATAGGACCTCGGTTGAAGCTCCAGAATGGATGGCCGTAGTTTTCCCGTGAGGACAGGGTCACTTGAGGAAGATGATTCGACCAGACCCTTCCTTCAACCATCCACATCCGGACGGAGATTAGGCCAGACACCCTTGTTGTGGGACAGTATGTGCAGTCCGGAGTGCTCCATTGAGGAAGCCCACAGATTGGGAACGTTTTGGACCAGCCCCTCAATGAATCTTGTCAATTCATGAGTGCTCCATTGAGGAAGCCCACAGATTGAATCTTGTCCATTCACAGACAGAGTTATCGTCCTCTCAAATCGAACAGTTACCAGATCTCAGTTGTTCTGAACCGTTAGAAGTTGTTGTAGATTCACAAAATGTTAAACTGAATAAATGTGTTAATGTTCAAAAAGAGACTCAGTCATCATTTCCCACCAAAAAAAGAGGAACTGTTTCTGACTTTTAATGAACTCGATCACAGTAGAAAACCCTGGAAAGGGTCACCATAAGTGTGAGCTGACTTTACGGCACACAATTATAACTGTTTCTGACTTTTAATGAACCCAATCACAGTAGAAAACCCTGGAAAGGGTCACCATAAGTGTGAGTTGACTTGACGGCACACAATTATTAGTAATTACCAAGGAGTACAAATGAGGTTTTTAGGAGAAGAAAACAGGAAAATGTAATCTGTTTTCTTCACTCCATAAGACGCACAGACTTTCTACCCCCCTGTTTTGTGGGGGGAAAAGTGCATCTTATGGTGCGAAAAATACGGTAATTACCAAGGAGTGCAAATGAGGGAAACCATGAGTGGGCAACGATGATCCTTCAGATTTATTTATTTTGCCTATAGCCTCAGCTAGCATAGCGAAGAGTATTGGGACATGGGGATTTCAGTGCAAAGCACATCTGGTAAGTCACAATTGTCCACTCTGGAGGCAGACAAATCTGAAAATGTGGACCTGGAAATAACATGGATGGTCACACCCTCTTTCCAGAGAACAGAGATGAATCTTTGAAAATACTATGCTTGCATAGTCTTCAGCCATCCACGCTGAATTAATCCTTATATCACAACTGGCCCTGTCTGAAAGCATATTCTCCATTACTTTACAGCTAGATAAACTGTGCAAGTATAATCACACTTGAGAGCCTCATGTCGTATAGTGGACAGAATGATGGATTAGGATTCAGGCAGCATGGGTTCAGGTCTCCACTTGGCCACGGAAACTCATTAGGGTGTGGTCATGGTAAAACCACTCCTTAAATGTCTCAAATACTTTGAAAAGCCTACTAGGGTCTCTATAAGTCAGTTGCAATGTGATGGCACATCATGACAAATCAATTGAATGGTCAAGGGAGAAGGGATCCTTCAGCTTGTAATAACTGGGAAAGCTTAGATATTACACATAATTAGAAAGGAAGACTACCAAATTTTGCACCGCAGCTGGGTCAGTTTTGTGTTGGTGTACACACAGAAATAAAATCAAGAATCTTCAGCTGTCCAGTTTCCTTGGGCAAGCAGATTATCAGCATTTTGTGGTTTTAAAAGGTGTTTGGTTTTAAAATGTTTTTAAGGTGCTTGGTTTGGTTTAAAATGTGTTTGGTTTAAAACGTGCTTGGTTTAAAATGTGTTTGGTTTTAAAAGTGTTTGGTTTAAAAGGTGTTTTAGACTCCAAATTCTTTCCCTGCCCCATTGTCTTCTCTCTCTCTCTTCTCTTTTTTTGTGCGTAACAGCACAAACCTTTGTCTGAGGTGTCTGTGTGCCCCAGTGATGACCTTCTTTTCTTTCTTTCTTTCCTCTTTTCCCCATTGTTCCCTCCCTCCTGCCTTTCCTACCCTTTTTTTTAACCTAAGTCATCTAGTGCTAGAGGATGGATTAACCGCTTTTGCATTCATTCCCAACGCCTCTACATACAATCAAAAACAGCCAGAACCGATTAATCAGGTTTCAGTGCATTTTAATTGGAAATGCTGATTCGACTTACAACCATTTTGACTTACAACCATCTTCTGGAACGGATTATGGTCATTAAGTCGAGGCACCACTGTATAGCTGTGGGATCAGCTTTTGTCCTTTTCAAGAGATGGGTGATTGTGGTGATCAGCGTGTTTTTTGTTGCGGGTGTATTGTTGTGGTCAAGAGGGAGAGATTATCTGTCACTGTGATTGATGGATGGATTGATACCCATCAATCACAGTTACAGATAATGTCTTCCTCTTACCACAATAAACACACAACAAAAACACACATCACCACAATCACCCATCTCCTGAAAAGAACAAAAGCTGATCCCACAGCTATAAATACCTGGTGCAGCAAACAAACTGCACCAGAGCACAGAGTTCTGACTCCTGTCCTCTGAAGATGCCGGCCACAGAGACTGGCGAAACGTTAGGAAGAACAACCTTCAAAACACGGCCAAAGAGCCTGAAAAGCCCACAACAACCATTAGATCCTGGCCATGAAAACCTTTGTGAATACATTGAATGCTTCTTTTATTTCTTAATTTTTAGAGACTGTACCTAAGCAAGAAGGTAACATTGGTTTTGTGTGGAGTACTGTTCTGGGCGTCTCTGGAGAGAAGGCAGGCATAGAAACAAAAATCATTAAATGAATAAATGAAGCACATTCTTGAAAAGAGCATCTGAAACAAATAACCTCACAGGTAAGTTGATTAGTAGAACTGTTGTCTCTACAAGATGAAATTGTGCCTCTCCTTCCTAGTCTTGAAGGACGAGGTCCATAGTTTGGGAGTGTCTGGGGGTGACCTCAGTCTTGTCTGGAGGCCCAGGTGGTGACTGTGGCTGGACCTGCCCATCCTTTGGGTGGGTATATGGAACAGCTGCCTTCTCCTCTGGATGATACAGATCCAGTCAGTGATGCCCTCATTACAGGGAGACTGAGAGGCTACACAAAGCCATTCTAAAGAGAATTTGAAAACTCCAGATAGTACAATAATGCATCAGTGAGAATGGTTTTGGTCTCACTAAAGACTACGCAGTGTTACTGCAGCTCTTAAAGTTTCTACTGGAATTTTGAGTTACTGTAGTTCTGAAAACAATTCAGAGCACTAGCTATTACCTATATATTGACAAATGTCTTTGGACCAGCTAATCCTCAGGATTAAATATGTTACCCCATCTTTCTCCTTTAAAAGGGTTCAAGGAGATTTACATTGTTAAAAGACAGTATTACATATACAATATTAAAAGAATTAAATACCACATTAAAATGGTGAACAAAATCAACACCAAAACCAGATTCAAAGCAACAAGGCACAACACTCCATTTAAAGATCCCTCTCAGACAGGTAGTCACTCAGGGAAAGCTTGCCTGAAGAGAAAGAACTTTGACTGTTTGAAAAAGGACAGCAAACATGGGGCCAGCCTGGCCTCTAGTAGGAGGGAGTTCCAGAGTCTGGGAGCAGCAGCAGAGAAGGCCCTCTCCTGTGTCTCCACCAAATACACCGATGAAGGGGGAGCTACTGAGGGAAAGACCTCCCCTAAGAGTCAACACCCAGGAAGCCCTATAAAGGGTGATGAAGTACTTGAGATAGCTTGAAACCAATCCATTTAGGCCTTTATAGGTTAAACCTAGCACCATGAATTGTACCTGAATTGATCGGCAGCCAGTGGAACTGCTGTTAACAGGGGAGTTATGTGATCCATGTAACCAACCTCAGTTAACTCTATGAGAGCCATGATTTGGGCCCAGTTAAGTTTTTCTGAACACTTTCTAAAGGCAGCCTCATGCAGAGCACATTACAGAATTTGAAAAATGTTAGAATGTCTCACCAGTCAAAAATTACACCAGTCAGCATGACTGGACTATAGTCTTGCAATTTATTGGGATTGGGAATCACTGATTTATACCCTCAGACTTGGGGTGCTTTATTACCTGTATGCCTGTGGGGTCATGAATCTTGTATTTTGAATAACTTTCTTTTGAATGTCTCCAGCAAAAAATGAAACTGAAAGCAAGAGGGCCCAACCCCTTAAGGAGCTACGGTTCCCTCCCACCCTAGGATGTGTCCTCGTTCAGTTCAAATTGGGAGCAGGGAATCTCCATATTCTCCAGCACGGGACTACAGTACTCTACATTCTCCTGCACAGCTATTTCTCTATGTAGTGCTCAAACTCTCTTCTCGTGAGAAGAGGGCAGTTTTCCTTTTGCAATGGAAGGGGGAGGGGAGGAGAGGATTGCAGGATTAGAGAGAGAGAGATGGAGGGGAAGGAGGCAGGGAGGGAGGGAGCTGTGACTCGTCGAGCAGCAATTTTCACTCGTCACAGACGAGTGGATGAGTGCATTTTTCAAGCCCTGACAATCATCCAGCGAAGATGTAACTAAGGCATGTGTCACCATGTCCTGGTTAGACTCTTCCAGAAACAGGCATCGTTCTCAACAGCACTTAACATCTAAGGTGCTGCTTTATGTCCGACCCCAACTCAGATGTGTTTTGGAAGGGGCATGAGAGCCAGCCTTCCTTGGCAGTGGCGACAAATACTCTTATTTCACCATGCCTTCAATGTGTTTAAACCACCAGCTGCAATCTATTTTTAAACTATTTTAAGCTATTTTTAAACCCAGTTGTTTTATGCCTATCACTTGCACCATTTTAGCTATTCATTTCATACAATATTCTCCTCTGTATTTAATTTTATTAGCATTTTATAATTCACATATTACAATGGCTTACTGGAATAATAACAAGCAAAGAACAAACAAACAAAACCCCCACATACTCATGAACAAGGGCTATGAATCAACAAAATGAAACCCTGGTGCTATCATATAAGAGTTCAAAAGAACGTACGTTGACTTCTACTTCTTTAAAGCGATGGAGATAGATCCAAATGGTTTCGTCCAACAGTTAGCACTGTCTTTTGGGGAAATCTGCGTATGTTTAATTCCCCACTGTGTATCCCAAAAGAAACAGCCTGTGTAGCCTTGGACAACCTGCACAATCCCATGATGTTCCCAGAAGAAGGGAAAAATAAATCACTTCTGAGTTCCCTTTACATAGAAAACCCTGAAAAGGATCACCATAAGTCAGAATTGACTTAAGAACACACAATCATCATCATCATCATCATCAAATTTATTCCTTGTCTCCATAAATGGCTACCAAGTTCTTACAAAGCTATCTGTTTGCCAGCCCTTTAAATGACTGTTTATCCAACTCTATGTTGATAACCTAATGGGGACTTCCACTGCTTAGTTATTTCCAGGTACTTTCTAGCAGCTATATGTAATACATAGAACAAGGTTCTCTGCTTCAAATGTTCACGCTTCTCTTGTTCAGACAACAAACCTTTTGTATCAAGATGGACAACCTCCGAAGATCTGGGAATCAGCAGGGACTTCCTTTTTTTTTTTAACTGCAAAAGCCCTCACCTTCCACTAGCCAGAAAGACCATGATTTTGTTATTTTTGTTGGCTGCTCCTACACTGTTCTAAGTGACTCCCACTTGAACAAAGGCACCCACCCTCCAGCCTGTAACAGCTGGGGAAATGGCAAAATTGTCTGCTGGAGAATTCCCAGAAAGCGACAGACATTCTTTAATTAAATCTTTTTTTTTAACAGCATGGGGTATAGTGAAGCAATAGCACAGCTTTTATAGTGTTTTCATTGTGACCCGATAGAGATGTTTTCAGGTAGTGTTTAAATCCATACATTTTCTCACTGGCTCTAAATTATGTTTACATTCAGATCTTTTTTTCCATGCTCCATTGAGACCTATTGCAGAAAAGCATATGATCTCCAGTAACCAGTCATCTATGAAGGAAACCTGTCCCTTAGTGACATTTTGCGTATTTATGCAAAATAGCTTAAACATCATAAGCACTTCTGTGTCTTCTCCACCACTTTTCAGATGCATCATAAAAACCCGGATCATCCGCGCGAGCCAGGAGGTGAGGTTGAGGAGCCTGACGCCGAGGGAGGCCCGGAGGGAAAAGACACGGAACCGGGCCTTCTCGGTGGTGGCTCCTCGCCTCTGGAATAACCTTCCTCCGGTGATTCGTGCGGCCCCCACGCTGGGCACCTTCAAGAGACAACTTAAAACATGGATGTTCATCCAGGCCTTCCCTCCTGTCAGCACTTGACTTTTTTTTCTTTCGCTATTCATTATTTATTGTATTTGTGCACTGTTTCTGTTATTGATTAGACCAATAGGTTTGTGTTATTTAATGTATATATGTTTGTTGGTAGCTGACCAGAGTGGTAGAATATACCAGATGGGCAGGATATAAATCAAATAAATCAAATAAATAAATAAATAGCACCTGCTATCTTTGCAACCTAGAGACTGAAAGTCCTTGTGAACATTCAGAGACACCTTTTATTATATGCACTGTATTCCTTTCGATAATTTTAATGTCTTTTTAAACTGGATATTTCCCTGGGGACTTTTTGTGGACTGAAAGCAGGGCAGAAATTTGCTAAAAGCAAATTAAAATGCAGCTGTCCAGCAAAGGAAAACTCCCTTGTTTGAAGGAATGGCCGACTTCCAAATGAGAGGCATTGGCTAGCCTCACAAAAATCCAACAGTAGTATTGTTTGGAGGCTTCACAAAAACAGGAAGACCACTCTCAGGAAGATTGGATCTTAGCTAAGCCATATGACATAAGATTACCTGCCTTTTTAAGAGATTTTTTAGGTGGTGCGCCTTCTGTTGTTTCTTCCTCTTTCCGGCTCCGTGACTTCTCGCTCTCTTTGCGATGACCCTACCAGAGAGAAAGCAGGAGACGAATCACAAAAGCCTCTTCATATTGCAACCTCCAGGCCTGAGACGCCGCACACTCTGTCTCTGGCTCCTTCTACTTCATCCCTGACTGACAACAGCCCAAAGAGGACACACAGAGTGGAACTGGGAGCAGCAGGACAGCTGCACAAGGGCGGGCTCATACCAGCATGTCCGGCGCGCCCCCTCTCTCTCCGTTCTCCACCTGCTTACAGCTTTGCTTCGGCATCATCTTCTTGCTGGCCACCGTTGGCACAAGGCAAACCCCAGAAAGTCCCTCACAGGCCAGAAGACTTGCCTGCAGAAAAACAAACACAAAATGGGGAATGAAGTGAAACAGAACTCAAACTTACAAAAGCAGGAGGAGAGCATGGCTGTGCACTCTTAAAGCTTTGGCCTGCCGTCTGGTATGTAGGTCCCTCCCTCTACAGGGGTCATGGATTAACATTGCTGCCGACGGACCGAGAGCAAGCCTTCAGTAGAAGGAAGCTCGTTGGATAGGTTCTTTAAAACACAAAACTTGGGCTGACATTGTACCGATGCTTGCCTTCTTCCAGGGGAGTGGCCGTACCTCAGTGACACATGACCACCTGCTTTGCCTGCAGAAGGTCCCAGATTCAATCCCCAGCATCTCCTGGGAGGGCAAAGGAAAAATCCTGCTCGAAACCCTGGAGAGTGGCTGCCAGACAGAGTTGACAGGACTGGGCTGGACAGACCCAGGATTTGTCCACAGAAAAGGATTCCTGTTAAGTTGTTTGCAAGTGCTCACAGATCGCTATGCACCCGGGGAGGCCTAAGTAAAACTTCCACATAAATCCAACTAATAGTACATTATTTATATGGATGTATAGATAGGCTTCTATATTTTATTTATTTATTTATTTATTGTATTTATACCCTGCCTATCTATTCATTTTGACCACTCTAGGCAGCTATAAACTTCCTTCTATAAACTTCCTTACTTTGCCACACAGAGAGAATTCCTACCACAGGTGACTGGTCTAGTTACAAGCTCTGCTATTTGGGTATATGGGTCATCCAAGTTAAAAACAAGCATATAAGTGTATATATGCCTGAAAAAACTAGAGGGTTTTCTCCATTTGTAGCCTGCACCATGGGTGTTGATTTTTTTGAGAGACCGAGCCTAGAAAAGCATTCCTAATACTGTCTGAAACTCTGCAAGGAGATAAAACATAGGGAGGTCACCCAATCTCCTCACAGAAAGAGTAGGATAACAAGGCAGCAAAACATACTTAGAAATACACCCTGTGCATCTAACTTTGTGCAAAGCCTACAACAGTTTTATCAGGTTTATTTTCATTTGTTCCTTGAAGACAAGGCTGACAGCTTTTTTTTGGGGGGGGGCACAGAATTTTCCTTAGTTTTACATGAACTAAAATTGTGAATAATCCAGAGGGGCCTTCCTAGAGCACTGCATCACAATCTATACTACCCTGCATGAAACCCCTTGTCCTGCTGCTTTTGCAATTGAGTGGGGTATCAGCAGAGTGGGAAAAAAATCTAACGATTTAAAAAAATCAAATTGATTTAAATCACAATTTAAATCACACTTACATTTTAAACAATCAATGTTTAAAATTTAAATCATCAAAAAAAGAAGATTTAAACCAAACCCACCCTGGGTGGGGGATAGCCTAGTAAGGCAGCATCCGCCCTGCTCAGGGAATCCACCCAGGACCCACACCTTCTGCCCTCCTGGGCCAATGTTTCACCAGGCTTCGGGGTATGGGGTAGAACTAAGTAAACCCCCAGTGGCTCCAAACCACAGGAATGCTCAGCACCCTTTTCCTTGTATATTTCCAAATGTGCACAAAAGATTTCTGGACTCAACATGGAAAGGGAAGAGACACCAAGGGACGGCTTGAGTTGGCCATAACAGGAAGGCAAGTTACTTCTCCTTTCACCCTGTCCTGTTCCATTCTCCGAGCACGGCCGTGAGGACAGGGTCAGGATGACCAGGGAGGGTCCACAGCACTCTTAGGTTCAGAAATCCTGGCCACTTGGGCAAACCACCGAGAGACATACAGTCAACATGAGAAAACAGGTTATCACTGGGAGCCCTTCGTGGCCACCTCCGGCAATGATGAATTCCTGTTGGGACAGGATGGGAGAACTGGGGCCTGTTACCTGAGCCATCGCGTTAGTCTGACAGTCCTCTCAAGACGTAGATTACGCCAAGTCCTTACGCTTTCTGTCTCTCTCTCTCTCTTGCCCAGGAAAGAATTTTACGACTACAAAGATTTTTTCAGTAAATCGTTTCTGCGCTGGTCCCGTCCAATACCTTCCACTTTGTAGACATCTTTCTGGAGTTGGAGAGCCCAGAATGGCCGCGCAGCAAGTTTCCCCAGCCTTGGTTGAAAGCTGAGGAAAGTTACAGACTGTGCTGCTCTTGCGGAGGAGTCACCCCAAACCTAAATTCCCCCTTTTGGGTTGGCCCTCTGTGGGGAAAGGATGCTGAGATCCTCCTTGTACAACTGCTACCGTGACGCTGGCTCTCCTCCTCTAGTCTCCACCTGTGGGTTAAGCCAAAAGAAAAGTTTATGGACCCACTCATTTAGCAGCACAGAAAGAGAACACCACACACCAGAACCTTAAGAGTCATGCACAATGGCTGCCATACTGGTAAAGATTATGGTTCCCTGGTTGCACTGGCAGTGAAAAGGTCCTGCTGGCATGTGCCACTCAAAAGAGTACTGTCACAACATTTCATTCATATACGACTCATGGAAGGCCATATTTGATTCCCGAAAATATAAAGTGTAGATGATCAATGGCAAAACCATGGTCTACAATATGACGCTGATCCCTTTGTACTTGATCCAAGCTGATTTTTTAAATAGGGACTGGCCAAAAACAGGCTTTAAGTTAATGCTCAAATTTTTCTTTCAGTATCAGCCTGGAGAAAGCAACAGGGATGTGTCACAGGTCCAGGCTTGCACAGAGAGTGCTAGTCCAATGCCACCATTTCCAGTCAATGCCACCATTTCCAGTCAAGCGTTTAATCCCTTTGAATGCTCAGCATTCAAAAATCTTGAAGAATAAACATGAACGTATTATATATGCTTTCCTTATAAGCAAGGGATATCTGGACCAGACTCCAACGTTGTCAGATTCATGTCTCCTTTTCAGGGAAACAGGGGAATATAAGCTTTTAACATATCTTTTGGAAAAAACTGAATCACTGGTAGCAGTTTCTATAGATTCCAAGATTCTATAGGTATCTAAACAATAGACAGAAATCAAACTTGCATCTTATACTGTACATTCTTCTTAGTGTCTTTTTCCCCGTTTTATGCTTGGACTGTGGCTCTCAGTGCTGGAGCAGATACGTCCATTGAAGAGTGCCTCAGGTTCTTCTCTTGTCTGGAAAAACCCTTGCCTGAAATGCTGAAGAGCTACTGGCAGCCAGAGTTGACAATCTAGGGAGAGGTGGACCAATGGCCTGACTCACAATAAGGCAGCTTCCTAGACTGCTATGATCCCTCAATACTACTGCATACAAATGGATCCCAGAATGGTATTTGTTAATCAAAACATGAGAGGAAAGTGCAAGTTTAAAACTCAATGAATTCTATAAAGCACAACCCAATGTCACAGAAGAGAAATTCATTGAATCAAACATCTAATTATTGTTTATGACAAAGACACAACAGACTTAAGGTTGGTACTCGAAAACAGCAGTTGGAGCAAAATGAGATACTTGGTTCATATTTTGGTATAGCAAAAACAGTGTCACTCAGCAATATACTCAAAGAAGGATTTTTAGTTGAAACATATTGGGCATTCAAACCAGCGCCTTACAATGCATGCTGGAAGCCCACTCCTTTCTTCTTCTTATATAGAGCAGATGGCACAGCCTGGACTACCATATCCAGAAGTCTCTGTCCTGTACTGAGGAACTTTAGAGACATACTCCTTACAGAAATCTAAATGGATATCCAGTATTTTCTATGCATTTGCTGAAAGTGAGATTTAAAACGTTTAGAGACAAGGAATCAGAGAGCATGCACTTCAGTGCAGATGAACATTGCTACTAACTACAAATTATCTTCTCATAGAACACCAAGTAGGAGTCCAGAATTATGAAAAATGCCAATTGTCTTTACTAGAGTAGCTTGTTTTAGTGCAAGGTGGGCAAACCGGTGCCCTCCAGATACATCAGACTTACAGCTCTTCATAATCCCTCACTACTGGCTGATCTAATGGGTGAAGTAGTCCAAAAGATCTGTACGGCACAAGTGAAAGCCTGGTGCCACCATATTCATGGTTTAATATGTTTATGTACCCTATCAAATCACTGCGATTCATAATGAGACTACAACATGTAGCAAACAGATCTGTGCAAGAACCACTCACCAATTTGCAATGGGAATCAAGATGAAATCTGCATTCACTTTGTAACACATTACAGTTACAACAAACACACCACTGTTAATATGTATGCTACTTTGCAACACAAACAGACTTATTACGCCCCAGCGCGATGACATTGCAGTTCAAATTTCCTCTGTGTGGTGAGATGTCCAGGAAGAGAGAGAAGTCAGCAGCAGAAAGGGACAAATACAGGAGCACGGAAAAACAGCTAACAAGCAACATGCACCAGCAAAGGTTGTTATGAATAACTTATGTTGCATTTGAAGGTTAAAGAGATGAGGGAAAGAGGTCACCGTAAAAAGTGATGTTGAGGAAGGGTCTTTAAAAAAAAAAGAGGATGTTTCATGTAAATGGTATAAGAGAGCATTTCTGGCATCTAAAAAGGTACAGCCAACATGTGGACTTTTGAATGCACATTCATATTACCTTTCACTTTACACATACTATGATGTTACAACCTTCATGCAGAGTTCAAGTTAATTCTTACGTAGATTTGATTTTATGTGTAAGAATCTGGCCTGCTGAAGAATACCTAACTATGCCATCCTCTGTATTTCAAGCATAAAAGACTTCACAGAGTTGTCATAAGAATCAGAGCAGGGAGTGTGAACTCCATTCAAGAAAAGCATCAGGAACTTTCTGGAGGAACACAGGAAGCTACCTTAAACTGAATCCAAACCAGCCTATTTCGCCTACTGGCTGGCAGAAGCTCTCCAAGGTTTCAGGCTGAATTCTTCTCCCCCAGTCCTACCTGCAGATGGCAGGCACTGAACCTGGGACCCCTGCATGCAAAAGAGGTGGCTCTACCACTGAACTGCAAACCTCCCCAAGGACTGGGATACAAACCAGAGGACTACTCTTAACACCACATAGCATTTACAGATTGTTTTATGAATGCCTCGAACCCACACGCCCAAGAGACGTCAATGTCATTCCTGACATGACGGAGTCTGTAAAAACAGGGGGTGATGGGATGGAACCCTCTATTAGTAGAGCAGCGGGGAATCTTTGCACCGCCAGATGTTCTGGTCTGCCTCTTCCATCCCATCTAGACAGCCCGGCAAATGGCACAAGACGGTGCGAACTGCAATGCGAAAGCAACCCTGGAAAACCCAAGGTCCTTCCTCCCCACCCCCCGCGCTCCAAATTCCTGACATTATGAATGCCTGGAAGAAGCAGAATTCGAACTCGAAGCCTCTGGGATTCCCTACCTACCTCCCACCACCGCCACCCCGGCCCAGCTTCCACGAGACCCCCTGCCTGAGCAAAGCCTGCCCTGGGGCAAAAAAGCACAGCTTCAGCGGCACCGTCCGAAAAAAAGGCGAGGAGGCAAGGGCGCCGGAACGCAAGTGTTGTGGCGCGGAACCGCGGGGGTGCCCCAAGCCGGGTGCACAGCGGGCGGGCGGGACGGCGGTCGGGCGGGGGCAAAGCTGGCTGGCAGGCAGGGAGAGAGAGAAAGGGCCCGAAGGAGAGAAGGACGTGCACCAAGGCCGGGAGAAAACCTGCGCGTCAGGCTACGCGGGGTGCGCACGAGCGCCAGCGAAGCCCCCCCGCGGAGGGTTCTATCCCAGCGACAGCAGGAGGAGGAAGAGGAGGAGGAGCCGGCCGCGCGCTCCCCTCCAGGAACCCGATCCGCGCGCGCGTATAAAGGAGGAAAGCCACACGTGACGCACCCGTCTCCCTTCGCTCGCGCTCCCCTCTTTTTTTGGGGGGGGAGGGAAACAGCGGAAGCCGCAGGAACTGACACCTCTGAGCCCTCCCGGCCCCCGTCGTCGTCGCCACCACCACCACCGGCCCCGCCGCCGCCGCTGTTCCGGAAGCGGAAGCCGCCGGAGGCCGGTACCCATCGCGACTACCGCCCGCTTCCGCTTGGCTGGTGAGCAGCGCGCATGAGCTGGCCGGAGAGTGGTGGGGGGCGCTTCTGGTAGCGCCATCTTGTTTAGGGGCTGTTTGGAGGGAAGGCAGGGGATGCTGTTGCCGAAGCCAGGGTACAGCAGAAAGGGGTGGAGGGACGGTTCCTTTGAGCGTTATGGGTTTTTGAGGAAGGGTAGGGTGGAGTGAGGGGAGGAGATACCGTTTGGACATCATCCTTTGTCGATCGTTGGACTACAACTCCCATAATCCCTAGCAAGTATGGCCGTTTGCAATTAGGGTGAGAGAGGTTGCTCTTCAATATGAGGGGGCACTGCCCAGTCTGGAAGGTAGTGTAGTAATAGGAAAAAATAGGTGCCTTGCTGTTGATTTTAATTTATGGCAGCCGTTTCCAGGATTTTCTGATTATAGAGTACTCAGAAGTGGCTTGCTATTCCATTCTTTGAGGACGCCCTGGGACTGTGCAGCTTGCCTACGGCTGCACAGGCTGGCTCTTCTATAGGCTTCCGTCGTCTACACAGCAATGATTTTTCACGCTGGGTAAACCAGATCTTCTTGGACTGCGATTCCCAGAACACCCGGCCAGCACAGAAGGTGGTGAAGACTTCTGGGAATTGCAGTCGGAGAATACTTGGGTTACCCAAGCTTTCTTCACCATATACAGCCCTTTCCCAGAGCATAATTTCCCCAGCTGGGATAGAAAAATCATGGATTTCTCAGTTCCCATATGCAGTTTGTCCCTCATTGTTCATATCTGTTTATTGTATTACAGTTATAAGGTGCACCTTTAATACAGTACATAAGATGGCAGTTTGAGGGGCGGATAGGAGACGGCAGCCTAGCAACAAACAGTAGAAGATATCTTTTTACAGAATCTATACAAGTACTTTGAGGTCTTGCAGATAAAATTGGAGTAAAAGTACAGGTGGTGATGAAACCTCTAAAAGGTGGAATCACCCCTAATTAATGGGGGAGCGAGCACTGGAGAGTATTGCATGATGGCCTTGTTCACACTATCATGGTTGAGAAGAGGTTTCCATGTTATTTCCCCCACTGGAAATTAATGGTGGAAATTACTTTTTTTTTTGGCAACACTTGTAATAATAGCTATACTCTCTGAAGCTGCAATTCTATCTTTCAATCCGGACACTCCCTGAAACCTTGAAGTCTCTACTTGTGATTTTTACACTAGTGGAAAATATACAGTGACAATTATGAAAGCTGTGCTTTTCTACATCCTCCCTCTGATAGCTTTAGGTGCGAAGTGTCTTATCCTTAAATGTGTTTCCTAGGAGATAACTCACCATGCCACCAAGTGCTCTTATCCAAATTTGTGTGTAGCACCTTGTAGGATGCAGGACTTGTTTCTTTGGGAGAAACTTTATAGGCTGACTACATGGGCTGTTTAGCCTGCTCTTTGGAGTACTGTTGAGCTCTTAAAGACCACAATCAGCTAGAGCCTACCAGCCCTTAACGCCCCAGTGTTCCTATCCACACCTTTCTGGACTGTCAAGGGGCTTCTACTTTTCTGGTGCAGGTAGGATTACTGGATCAGTTCCAGTGTCTGTGACAGCTGAAACTGATCCAAAGCAAGCCTTCCCCTTTCAATTTGCCAGTACTATGAAGTGGCTTAATAAGCCAGCCACTTTAGGATATTGACAGATTAATCACTTCCCCTGCTCAGCAGAGGGTCTGTAGACTATCACTGATGCAGTACATCAATTATAAATAATTTATAAAAATCTCTTCTTTGCCTTGCTTTAAATGGCCAGTCAAGAAATCACTCACAGTTGAATCTATGGGAATAAATAGATAATAAACCATTTACCTTCAGTCTTTTCTGTAACTAAGACATTTAGGGGATTTTTAATTGCAGCTGAACAAAAATCATGGTTCCATCTCTTACGTCTAACACTAAGTGGGTTGCTTCACAGCCACTTGTAAGAAAGCAGTGCTTGTTCATTGTTCAAGGGATTAATCAAAATGTATGCATATACTGTATATTTGAGTGTAAGAGTGAAATGTTACTACAAATTTTATTGACAATGACAGAAACTCAGAACTGTTAAAACTCTGGGAAACATGGCATAAATATGTGGATATACCTCTGCCTTAAGTGTATGCTGAGGATGGAGAGTTACTACATCTTTTGATAAAACACAAACCTGGGTGGGTCACAATAACAGTTTTTATTGCTTGTATGTCAGATATGGTTGAGGACATTCTGTACTTTATGGAACAAGCTGATCTCTTCCAAGAGCTCAGAAAATAACTACACAGTTCTCAAGTCCATTTTACCATTACTTATGAGCAATGAGGATCTGTAACTTTCCTGTAATCTTGTGACATCTTAGTGACTGATAAATTTGGCTGGAAAGGCAGATTCTGAAGCAGCTTGCCTCTCCTCCTCCCACATTGTAGGGGAATGCATTCTTGGATGCAACGTCAATGCCAAAGCAGATGAAATAAGGAGCTTTGCAAGCAGAAGTGGAGCTGACTTACGCAGTAAAGGATGTGTGATTGTCTTCCAGCTTGTAAATGGCAGATTAGCTTGCTCTGTTTTTATGCTGATTTTGTAAATGCAGCTCCAGAGGCAAAACGTGCTAGATTTTTAGGCTCTCGGATTCATACCTGACACTGAGAACACATGGGCTTGTTCTTACACAGAATCTTCTAGCCTTTCCACCCACTCCAGTACGGGTGGGCTAGGTTGCTGAACAGGAAGACAGCTGGCAGGGAAAAGGATTTAAGCTGCCTGTTGTATCCTCTCTACCCTTGACCCACCTCTTAAACATGAAGCAGCCAGGACAAAGCAATGACTAGCTTAAAAGCATAGAGGTTAAATAGAGAGGCCATCAGCCCTGTTTATACCAAGGACTAATCAGTCTGTGCAGAAGAAGCAGGTTTCAGTTGTACAGTGCCTTCCAGATTGTCAGAGCAGAATATTAACAAACTGGTAGGCCACAACCTTCAAACTCCCTTCCTCAAGAGGTGCAGAATGACCCAAATGTAAGCATCTTCCACAATAAGCATAAGACTTTTTATTTTGCCAACATTTTGTGGCTAGGGATGAGCAGGTTTTAACCCCTAAGTGGCTAACATATGTCTTCCTGAGCTGTAGCCATGGCAATAAGTCTTCAGATGTTTGATTGCAGCTCCCTGAACATTCCCTCATCATTGGCTCTGTTGGCTGTGCTCAAAGGGAGGTACAGTCCAGCAACACCTGAGGAAGCGTTGTTGACCATCCAGTAGTAAAGAAGGTTTAGAAAAACCTGCCTGCATATGACTGCCACCATCTGCTATTGGACACCCTCTTTTCTTTTCTTATTGGGTTGTTTTCCTCTCAGCATCCATGGATTCCTCTTTAGTATGGAAGTGCACATTTGTTCCATATATTTATTTATAGGAGTGACTAACAACCCTGTATTTTAGCAAACATGCATGTGTATATATGTAAGCCCTCATATTTCCATTAGATGGGGATTGGAAACAGTACAGTACTAATTTGCTGAAATCCCATTGCTAGAAAGTCTTTTGCTAATAAGTCATGGCTGGAGTAGGCCCACTGAATCAGTACAACTTATTGAAGGAGTTTACTCACCATAGCCCCACTGATTCAATGGACCTACTCAAACTGTGACCTAGTCATGGCTGGAGTAGGCCCACTGAATCAGTGCAACTTATTGAAGGAGTTTACTCACCACAGGCCCACTGATTCAATGGACCTACTCAAGCTGTGACCTAGTATACTAAGCAATAGAACGTTAACCCAAGGTTAAGAACCAGTGTACTAAGCAATAGGATGTCAGCCATTAACACAGCTAGTTATGCTTTGAGCACATGCAGTTAAAAATGCTTCCCTTTGGCATTTCAGAAAGTCCTCTGTGCATCCCATCTTCCACTTTCAGAGCTAAGAATAAACAAACAGAGCCATCGATGAAAGCAGTGACTCTTCCGGCAAGGCAAGCAAGCAAGAATGCATGCAAATATCTCCACTCCTACACAATATAACGATACTTGTCAGGAACATAGGTCACTCCGTTTGTACTTTGTCCCTGAGATCTGTAGAGATACGTGCAAGATTGAGCAGGTAACCATAGCAATTGGGCATAAAGTTCTCTGCCCTCTGATGTGGGAGAACAGTCCTTACAAAGGGATGTCTGTGCTGACTGGAAATTTTCAGTGCTGTATAGAGCTTGGTGCTGCAAGAGTTTCTGATCGTATGAAGAAGCTGGATTAGCTTCTTGTGTGAACTAATTGCTCTCTTGGTAGTAGTGGAATCTTACTGGAAGACAGCACCTGTCATACTCAGCGGGAGAGAAGAAGGGTGTTTGATCCCTGAGAAGGGGACCCCGTGCAGAGAGAAACAGCAAAAAAAGGTCCAGATGGATAATTGACAGAACTAGTTTAAAGGAATAACCAAGATATAGTTGATGGTATAGCAGGGTGAAAGTAGTCATATTTATTGGGACTGTAAATGCTGAAATTGTGCTGAAGTTAGACCAGCAAGTTCGAAATGTGATATATATGATGCAGAATTTGTCGTTCTGGAAAATTTTAATTTGTGGGTTTTTGAAAAACTATTGTTTAACCTTTATGGCTGATAAGCTTAGCTTTAAAATGTAGGGTGGGGGTAGGGAGTGCTGAGTGCTGTTTTTAGTGTTCCAAGAATCTGTGGGTATTCTTTGTTTATGGACAAGTTTTACATATCACCTTTATTTCAGGACACTGAGGGTAATTTACAACAATTTTAATGAATTCCTTCTATTACAATAATTCTGGCAATGAGGAATTTGGTGAACGAATGCTAGCAAATATGTAGTGAAAATAGCATCACCCACTACCCAAGAGACAAATATTTAGCTAGCTTTATGGGAATTTCAAGGTTTGTAGAAGTACAAGCAAATTTTTATCCAAATCAAGCCTGGGGAAATTCCATCACTCCCAAACTACCCAACGAGATCTGTACATGCACCATTCAACGTTGTTGGTATGTTGCAAAAAGAAGAAATTGAAAGGAATTTTTGCCTTGATTTTTCTGGGGGAAACAGCACTCTGTTTCTTAGCAAATGATGTTGCTGTTGCATCGTCAAACAGTTATTCAACAGAGTTTAGGAGCACAGTTTAGGTTACAGGAAAACAGAGTCTCTCACCCTCTTGCCTGGCTAATGGGTGCTGATTGGTGGGAGGACATGAAGCCATTCTATTCCACTTAGTGGAGAATTTAAACCTGAGATTGGATGGGAGGCAATATGTACATGTTTGTATTTATTTATAACAAGGTGCAAAGGAGATGCTCCGTGTATGTGTGTGTCAGTTGTGTGTGTGTAGTTTCCATCATGCCTAACTATTGGTTGAACAGTACTGTACTCTGAAAGGACAAGTGGTTGGTGAAATCCAACATCATCTAGAGGGTTACAGATTTCCTTCTCCTGCTGTAAAAAATGACTGCCTCATAATAAATATTAACTGCTGTATTCCTGTGTTTTGTATCCTGAACACAAGAACACAGCGGGGAGTGCTGAACTGCTAATCTAAGGGTGCCATTACACTGACAATAAGATCCGCTGTTGAGTTGGGGTTTGTTGAATTAAAATTGATTTAAAGAATCCTGGCTACAGCAAAGCCGGCTTCTTTTTGACCGCAAACTGAGTTGTTTTTTTTAAGAGGCTGTCAGGGCCTTTGTAATTTAAAATGCTTGTGAAATCAGTTCTTTATGAATCAGTTTGGGCAATGTGAATGCCCCTCAGCACAGGTATTACAGAAAATATGGGAATCTTTCTCTCTCTCCCTTTTTTTTAAAGGAAAAGACCAAAGAATGAGAGACACAATCTGAAATGGCTTTGCCTTTGTGGGATGACATGAATATATTACATGTTGCCTAAATCTGTAGGGAGGTTCTCTTCAAGAAGTTCAGCTGACAATGGCAGAAGATGCACTGTCACATCCTGGCTTGGACAAGGATGCTGGAGAAGAGTTCTTACAGGAAGCATTCCAGGTCATGCTGGAGGAAGGCATCAAAAAAGGGATGGATGCCTCTGAAAAGGTAAGACTTCAGAATGTCACAGTATGTTTCTGGCTTTCCCCACTCCTCCTCCTCTAGGACAGGGAGATCTACATCTACATGTTCCAGGAACATTTTAGAGCTCAGAAAATTACATTTTAAAATGTATTCAGTTAGAACTCTCAACACCCTCTTCCCCTGTAATTGTTCTAATCAAGGCTACATTAAAAAAACACCCTGTGTTCTCATTATGCAAAAATTTAAAAATTATTCTTTTAGTTATTCTAAAAACAACAACAGAATGCTGCAAACTGTGCCCTATGGTATAAAACATACTTAAGTAGTGAGGCCATACACTCCTAGCAACCATAAATGTAACTTTAGAAAGATAGTTACATTCAGTTACTTACTTCCAATCTTTTGAACACTGTGTACAAAAGACAATAGGCTGATTAATTTAAGGGACCAGAAATGTATTTTGTCCGGAGATTGGAAAAGTAAGTAGCTTTTGAACTATAGCTCCCAGAGTGCACCATCAGCATAGCTAATTGTCACAGTAGCTATGGAAATCTAGGATCTGTAGTCAAAAAACAAACAAACAAAAAACAACCTTTCCTGTCACTGATTTTGCCTCAAAAACTGGTGTAGAGGAATCATGTAGAGGTGAGAGAAAACACTACCAGGCTCATGACAGGGCTAGAGGAGGGGAAGGAACTTTTCTTCATTTTCTTCCTCTCATTTAAATATCACACTAAATCCTATGGGAGAGAAAATAACTACTCCCCCCTGTTCTATTGTGGGTAACCCATTGTAATGAACAGGCTTTAGAATGCACCTTTTCTACCTTTCCACCTGATGTGACTAGATTTGTGGGTTAGATGTATAGTGCAATGACACCCATCTGAACATCTCTACTTTCTACTATAGAAGTAACAGTGCTGGAGCAGTTCTGGAGACAGAGCTGTCTGTCATAGGCCAAAGGACAACTTCCACAGTAGAAATCAGTTTGTATCTATGGAGGGTTATGTCCATAATATCCTGTAGCACCTAGGATTTCCTGCCAGGGGCACAGGATTGAATGTTGAACTCCTTGTACCAGCGTTCCTGCAGGGAAAAAGCATGTGCTGCTGTATGTGTAACAGGAAGAGATGCAGTCATGGATCTGCCACAGTTTCACTTGCTTTGATCCTGGCATCTCTCAGGCTGCCCTTTGTACCCAGTGAGTAATCAGATAATTGTAACAGACATTGGTAGAACATTACATTGATTGAGTAAGCATGTGGATCATAGAAGCCGAGGTAGCTGTGATGAACAGCCTTCCGGGACAATGCTCTTCAAATATTGTGATCCTCATCAAACATATTTGGGTAACTGTCGTGTGAAGTCAAGCAGAGGGTGTCCAGAGAGCATTTTTGTTATAACAGGGTTGCCCCATGCAATTTTGCTTCCTGAGGCAGACCAAGAAAGGATGTCTCATCATGCCAAGGTATATAGTACCTAAAGTTGAGTTATTTAGTATTTGAGGCAGAAAAGTTCATGAGCACTTAGCTTTACCATTGGTACTATATATTAGGTACACACAATTAGAAAATTAAATAGAAGTTGTCACCATAAGTCAGAATTGACTTGCCACCAAACAATTATTATGTATTATTGCCACCCTTTCATGATATATAAAACTTGCTGCCTGAGGTGGATGTCTTCTTTGCATAATGACAGGTTGGTATTCTATATCTATAATTCCATCAGGGAGGTCCACTTGGCACCAATCAGAACATTCATTGGCAGTGTAGGTGAATAATTCTTCCACTGGAAAACACATCATGTTTGGCAGGCTTCCATCAGGGAGGTCCACTTGGCACCAGTCAGAACATTCCTTGGCAGTGTAGGTGAATACACATCAGGTTTGGCAGGTTTCTTTTAACATTGTACTGATATTGCTGACTTTACTGTCGAACAACTTTTCACCTTTCTGCTGTTTTTTGTTTTTGTTGTTGCAGTAATTGTCCTTATACATATGTACAGCCACCTGGTAGCTGAAGCTTGATGTGTGTGTGCTTTTTAAAATATGTAAAGTACACACTCCTCTCCCATCTCTTCCCATTCTCCTCTTCTTTTCCCGAAGCTGACACAAGCAGAGCAGCAAATGTTACTCTGTCCCTTATTGGGCACAGGAATAAATGAAGTCCCCAAAAGTCAAAGGTATAAAGCATCCAAGACCTTGTAATGTTTGTACTTCAAGCCAAAGTTCCCACAAGTATGGGAATAATGATGCTGGATTAATTAATTTAATGATACATTAAAAATTATAATTTCACTTCTAAGAATACCCCACTACCAGAGCTTGTTGCTGGACTGAACTTACTAGTAAGCATAGTGAGGTGAGTTTCTCAGGCAGCAGGTACTTGGGAGGTAGCCTGTTCAACTTTCCAGCCATTTCCCTCTGTTGGGAGGGAGAGCTCTGTACACCATGCATCCTGTTGCAAGATCTTCAAGATAACCCGCTGCCACTGATACAGCAGAGGATGCTATCATTGTGTTATTTATGTAAGGTTCAGGTGGTGATCTGCCCACTTTCTGTACATGGGCTAGGAATTGGACACATTCTGGTCCTCCACCTTGGACAGTAAAATGTCTTTGGCTAGCCTCTGCATGAGAATCCTGCTCCGCTTAATGGTATGGTATGGCTAGCCGTGCCCAGCCTTACCACAATATGGATAAGAACAGGTGTGCAAATTTGTGTTTTTGGACTACAACTCCCAGGATTCCCCAAGCAGCACTACACCATCATACATCTGGGTTATTTGGAGTTGTTATACAACTTAAGAATAGGAGTGTGTTATTAGATTTTTTGTTTCTGTGCCCCCCATGACTTTTGTGAATATAAGCTAATCACCTTCTCTGTAGGTGTGTGATTGGAAGGAGCCTGAGCAGCTGCAGCAAATTCTGGACCTGGAACTGAAAGATGATGGGGAGCCACAGGAAAGGCTGTTGGAGCGTTGTCGGGATGTTATCAGATACAGCGTGAAAACATGTGAGTGCCTGGGTCCTGATGGCTATGTGATTCTTTTTCCAAATGTGTTTGTTCCTCTCCCAGTTACATCTTTTCCTGTGGCCCATTATCATGAGATGGTATTTCCTTGGGTTAGGCTAGTCTGACATTTTCATTTTTATGTTAATTAAAGGCTACACTAATTTTATGTAATACATTAATAAACCAAGAGATTATATTTAAGTGGAGGAAAAGGCATATAGATAACTTAAGTTTGATATATTGCCATGTTTTCTCATGTTAAATGACCAAACAATAGATAACATAGTTATCACAGCTCAGATACAAAAAAACCGCCCAAAACAAATAGATCAGATCAGTTACGTATATGCAGTGACTCAAAAATAACCAAAATTCTGTACCAAAGAATATGCTAAATCTGGAATTTCTTGGAAGAGAGGAACACTTGACTTTCTGAATATTGTTGACTCGAGCTTCCATCGGCCCAGACAGCATAGATAACAGACAAGGATGAGTGGTGTTGTAGTGCAGAAACGTACATTGTCCTCATTCTTGCCTTAGGAAATAACCATATTTCAATGAACAGAGACAAAGTCAAGGTGCTTCTTTGAGATGTTTTTAAAAACAAACAATCCTTTATTGTACATGCCATTCACACCCAACACACAAGGGTGTGTCTCTCACTTTTCTTGTAGAAAAGAATATCATTTTCAGTAAAGAGGTGGTGCTGAGAATCTGATCACAGATCCAGAGTGGCCTCAGTACAATACAGCTGTTCATTGTCTCTCTTTTTCATATTTTCTCCCAGGTCATCCACGCTTTTTTAACCAGCTGTTTTCAGGACTTGATCCACATGCTCTTGCTGGACGGCTGATCACAGAGATGCTCAACACCAGCCAGTATGTGTTTTGCACTTTTGGCTGAATCTTGGCATTAAAAAAAAGTTATAGGGCTCAGCTCTGGCACAGATTCACTCCAGGGTTGCTCTTTGGGGCTAGAAACAGGCCTAGTGTTCTTAAAAGCAGAAAGTGTTACTGAGGAAGTTATTTGCTATAGCCATATGCTTTTTTCATGTTTTCCTACTGCTAGTGGTCAAACAGGTTTTGCTGATTTCTGAAACAATTAAAAAACCTGCCCAGTTCTTTTACCAGAAGCAAAACTGGGTGGCTCCACATACCATGAACAAGAATCTTTTTTGCAGACAATTATCAGTTGCACTGTACTATGTAGTATAATGCAATGCAGGGAGAGATGACAGTGGGAGGGAGTGAAACACCAATGCTGATGCCGCTAGGCAGCATAATAAGTAGTTGTAGGTGATAGGGTTCTGTGTTTTTTGCATCCACTACAAGCACCAACCAGTGAAGCAGTTTGTGTTATTTGTATTCTGTCTTTTATCTAACAAACTCAAAGTGGTAGACACGGTTCTCCCTGTTCCTTCATCATTTTCTGCTCACAAAAATCCTATGAAGTGGATTGATTTGAGAGAGAGTTATCGGGGGGTCATGCTACTGATTGAGCAGACTTGAAGAACTCAGTTGGATTTGGTTTTTGAGTTTGGCAAATGTGCTGTCCATTGAACTGAACAGCTAAACTGGCATTTAGTGGATAAACTGTAATTTATTAAATGGGTTTGTGAATGAAATAAATAACCTAGAGTGGTCTCTGGTTACTGGCTCAAAAGCACCCAATGAGCTGAGTGGGGATTTGTAACTGGGTAATCTGACATCCTGACACTGCACAGAACCAGGGATGTTGGCAGGTCTTTTGTCCAAGTGTAAGTCTTTGGTACCACGTTCTGAGTCCCTATTAAATGCAAGCTCTTTTCTCCAGAAAAAAAAGGGAGGGGTGAATTGGCTCCAAGTCTGAGTCATTGAAACAACAACAACAAACCCAAGTTGAGTCTGAGCTGAGTTACTGGCGCAACATAAGTTTGATTTGGCTGCAAGTCCCGCAACGCAAGTCCCCATCCCTGCACAGAACTGGCTTTCAGGGGCCAGGTGGACAGTAATGGGATGCTTATTAGGGATATGCATTTGGATTTGGAAACATTGGGAGTTCACTGAATAATGCCATATTCAAATAGTTCCAAATATATTTGAATCTGAATTTGATAGTTCTGAATATATTTGGAGGATGGCATCAACACTCAGTCTGACCCTATCAGCTGGGGCAGCAGCACTGCTACTGTTTTTGTGGTGGGAAAAAAGATTTAGGAAGAGTATCAGACATTGCCTTCCACAGCTATACTATGCAGCTCCATCATATTCAAGGAAGGGTTTACCCAGCAATTTGTTCCCAGCAAATCTTTCTTTTGCAAAGCAGCATTGTGATTGGTGGAAACATACACATCGGATGTGGAGGAGGGGGAGGCTGAGGGGACTGAGGTGGTTATTATTTCAGAAGCATGAGATAGAATCATAGAAAAGTTAAGTTGGAAGGGGCCTACAAGGCCATCAAGTCCAACTCCCTGCTCAGTGCAGGAATATAATCAAAGCATACCTGCCAGGTGATTATCCAAGTTTTTCTTGAATGCCTCTAGTGTTGGAGCAACTCCAACTCCAGAGGTAACTGGTTCCCTGAAATCACCCTTGCCCCTTCAGTTATCCTTGCCCCACCAGTTGCAAGAACTAGTAGTGATGAAAAGTTAGCTCTCCCTGTTAGGAACATGTGGGCAAAAGCTGAAGCTCCCAAGAAGTCAATAATCTTGGAAGCATTTTCAACAGCTTGCATACCTGAGTGCATGTACTTCAAGGAGGTGCTCAAGCATAGGCAGGACTTGGGCCACCTTTCCAATAGTAAAATCCTCGGCCATCTGATGATGCAGCACAGGGCATTGCTGCTGGCAAATGAAGTGGGTACTGTTGGGGCAGGGGGCTTCCTTATTGTGAAAGGTAAGAGCCATGAGAAGGCGGTGGTTGAGCCATCAGCCCAAGGAAGCGGGGAGATACTGTAGATAAGCAAATAGCAAGAGGTGGGAGGCAGAAAATGCCAGATCCACATCTCAAGAATAAAGTCCAGGCTATCCTGGAGAAGCTTTGAGGGATGCAGGAAAAGGCCTTCTGCAAACATAAAAATGCCAGGATTACTTGCATCACCTAGGGGAGATGTAAATGGGTTTACAAACAGATTGGTGATGATAGATTGGTGGACAATGCTAAAATTAGAATCAAGGTTTAAAAAAGATAATATAGTGGGCTTTTATGAGGGGAATGTACAGGTGGATGAATTATGGATTTATACTAATGATAAGATTATACAAAAATGTACTGCGTTTCCTCGAAAATAAGACAGGGTCTTATCACTTCCATTTTAAAAAATGGCCAGTATCTTGGACATTTTGCTCATTTATGGGTACTGTGGGCCTACAGTCTGTCAGTTTTTTTGTACCTGTGAACTAAATAAAATGTCTAACAATGACAATAAAACCCGCTTTTGTACTAGATTCTTCTTTTTTTAAAAAAATGACTTAAATTTCAGTGTAAACACAAAGTATATGCATGTGTGGAATACTGTGCCAGGGCAGTGGGTTTTCCTGCTCCTCTGCTAGAGGTCCCTTTATTTTGGGGTCGATGTGGAATCAGTTCATTGGATATGTGAACATCTCATTCTCTTTTTAAAAATTCTGCTATTGAATACAGTGCTATACCACTGTACAGTATTTTTAAAAGCTGTTGCTTGGCCCCTCACCTCCCCATGTGCTTGCCTCCCTCCCTCCTATTTCATTCCTCCCATTGCCTTCCCATTCTGGTGGAATGGACTCGCCTGATCAGAGATGGTGATAGCGATAGCAATGGCAGCAGGGAGCCCTAGGAGGAGGTGGCAGTGGCAGTGGCAGTTGTGGTGGTGGTAAAGACACACACACTTCCACAAGATTTTTGGATTTTGGCTAAAGTCCACATGACTTTAGCCTGAAATTTAAAAAAAAAAAAACTTCGCTGGTTTATTCTGGCAGTGGGAACAGACCCTAATGCTTCCTCAAGTGGTAAAAGATAATTATTTGTGAAAGCAGATGCTTCTCCTTACTTCTGTACTTAATTTGAAAGCATAACTGCTGAGATGCATCTCTGAAGAAATCTAATTCTCAGGGGAAATGAACACTAATTGCAGGGATCTAATTTTTCTACCCTGATTGCTCAAAGGCCTGCCAATATTTGCTGTCCAATCATTCATTGATTGCTCTTGGCACAGTCCCCATGTGCTGTGTTTGGGAAAGCCTCACAGACCTACCTGTTTGCAATATCTGATGGTCACAATCACCCACTTACCTGTTCCTTCTGTCTTAGGTACACTTATGAGATTGCCCCTGTCTTTGTCTTGATGGAGGAAGTGGTGCTGAGGAAGCTCCGGGAGCTGATTGGCTGGGAGAAAGGAGATGGGATATTTTGTCCTGGTATGTAAGCTGCAGAATCATATTTATTTTTTTCTTAAGAGGTGGTTGCATCAAAATTTAATTGATGTTTTTTCAGTGTCTAGATGAAGCAGGCTGAAGTCACCTGTCCTGCTTGCATGCACCATGCACCCAAGTGAGAAACCCAGTGTAAAACTTTCCAGGCATCATTTTACTTTTGCACATGAAAAACAGCAACAAAGAGTCTCGTGCCACCTTAAAAACCTTTATGTAGCGTAAACTCTTATGGGCTACCTAATTGAGAAATTTATGGCAAATTAAACTTAGTAATCTCTAAGGTGCCATTAGATATTTTTATTGTTGACTATACAACCCTGAGATTTTTCAAGTTATCACATGTAAGTGTGAAAGAAACAACCCAGCTTCCTACTCTACCCAGTTTGGCTGTTTGATCCAGTTTGGTGCTATGCCCATACAGGTGTTCCACAGGCCCTGTGCACTCCCCTCTTCCACCTCCTCTGTGCGCTTGCCCATTCCCCAGGTGATGTGCAATTTCCTCCCTAGCTCCTTGTTGGAGTCATGAACTTAGCAGGCTGATGGGCTTTGTGGTGATCACCAGATAATTAGGATAGCAAAGAGTCTCTTAGAAATAGAGGCTAAAAAAGTCAGACACACACACAGGGATGTTTGCCAGCAGTGCTCCTGGTGGGCGGCTAGTAGAAGAGGCAGAATAACACCGAATGGGTTCCCAATGAATTCTGCCCATGCATTCTGCCCTGCCCCCAGGAGGACTGTGCTTTTATTAACCTTACAAGCTCACAGATAGTGGACAGTATATAGATAGGTTACAAAGTTCAGATAGGACAATGGTTACATAATGCCATTATAATTGACCTAAGGAAAGGCTCTATGCATGCTCTCTAGCACCTATAAGAAAGAAGAAGAATGGTGGGCAGTCATGCCCCTCAGAAGCAGCTGTGACGTCATCTAGGAGGATTTGCCCTCTACTGTAGATTAAGCAAACACTTTAGCAACCTTGGGAATGGCACCCCCACACCTCCTCAGCATGATTGCCCACGCACTGATCACAGAGATCCTTTCCCCTTCTGCCTCCTCCAGCAGCTGTCCACACAGACAAGGAGGCAGGGGCAGGGAAGCGTGCAGCACTGCCTCAGTATAAGGCAAATTCTTTGTTCTTCTTACCTTATGTTTTGAGTTTCGGAAAGAAGTGACCTGTAAGATATAGCATTCTTGTCACATAAATATCTTTAAAAGTTTGCATCAGAGAAATCTGATGACACAGTCAGCTTTCTGTAAGTTTCTTCTATGCATTATCTATCATTGATTTCTGAGTAACTGCACAAGCCATTTTGTTTCTGCTAGTTGTCGGTGGCAGCTAAGGAGCTATGTTTGACAGCTTTGTCATCCACCTTTAGCCTCACGTACTTAACCACTTTTCTTGGGCTTCTGATGTTTTAGCAAGCATTACCACACTTTTCACACAATACCTTTGTAGCCATGTGGGTTAGGAACTTGCCTTTTGAAAATGAAAGCTGAAATCTCCAAGAGGTTTGATTCTGTATTCAGGATCAATTCCTGAAGAATTAACTATCTGGAAATAAAATGCCAAATAATGCACATTATGACCTTTCTGGGCCCCTTTTCTCTACAGGAGGCTCTATCTCTAATATGTATGCTATGAATGTGGCACGGTACCAGTGCTTCCCAGACTGCAAGCAGAAGGGCAATTGGGCCATACCGAAGCTGGCAGCATTCACATCACGAGAGGTATGGTGCTCTTCTGAGGCTATTCCTGGGAAAGCTTTGGGCCTCCAGGTGTTCTGGAGCACCATTCTCACAGTCCCTGACTTTTGGCCATATTCACTGGAGCTGACAGGGAGGTCCTCAAGTGGTGTCATTTTTGATCTTCTCTTTTTCTCATTTTCCCTTTCAAGTGCCACTATTCCATCCAGAAAGGTGTGGCTTTCTTGGGCATCGGCACAGACAACATCTACCTTGTTGCCGTTGATGAAAAGTGAGTTGGAAACCCTTGCGAGATTTTTTGCTGTGAGAAAGTCAACTAGCTCTGCATCCTGGATGGACTCTCTTACCAGTAGTGTCCTAGGGAAATAGTCAAGCCGAAAGTATTTCACCAGCGCCTTAGGCTGATCATTTCTTTGCTGAACTACCTTTTCCATCTTCCTTGTTTAAATCACACTTTTTCCAAATAATATTTAATGAAACATGACAACATCATACTCTTTATGATGTATATACCACAGATAATGCTCTGTATTTTCCACAATTCCATAAATGCACAGTGACAACACAGGGATTGGGAATGGGTCTTAAATTGTAGCCTCCTTTAAAAAAGAACAGCCCCCTCATTAGGTCTCTAGCCTTTAAAAACTGCATATATGATTTCTCCCAAATTATCCTCTTGTCACCCTTGCCTGGGGGGAAAACGCAGGGGGGAAAAAGATTAAGATTGATAAATCCAGGTCCAGGGTTACAGCAAAGAGTGTTTAGGCTACTGCATCACTCTGCATAAAACAAACTGCCCTGGTGATAGTTTAAACAAATTTTGAGTCAGATTAGAGACTCTGGCCCTGAATGAATCCACTAGTCTGTGTGACCAGTATCAAGTGAAGTATCTTCCGGATTGTACCATTTCAGAAGGAAGACGGGGAGGTTGTCTTGAATGTTTTGCCATGTTGCAAAGAATCACCTTGTGCACAGAAAGTTGGTGTTTTAGAGAGAAGGTGACTCTAGATTTTTTTTGTGCACAGGAAGTTCTTCAGGGGAGTATTCAGATGTAAGATCCTATACTTGCAGACTGAAATAGTCTTCTCCAGGAAAAGCTGCACTACATATACTTATCAGCTGTTCATGTAGATTGCATCCTATGCAAGGTGGCTTAAACAAGAAGGTCTTCACGAAATAATGCTCATGCCTGTGTCACTTCAGTCCCTCCTTTCTTCCTTAGGGGGAAAATGATTCCTGCTGATCTAGAGAAACAGATCAATCAGGCCAAATCTGAGGTATGTTTTTGGGCAAGCTTTTAACTGACTTGGTGGGATGACCAAATTGATAAAAATGCAGAAAATACTAGGGGTTCTTAGTTTTCCCCACTGATCACACAACACAGAGAGAAATGAGATTCAGCCCTGAGTCCCAACCACCCCATCCGTAATTTTTCCCCTTTGCTGCTGGAGCTTCTGGGTTTCAAGCATGCGATTGCTTGAACCAATTCAGAAAAGGGAGGATGGGCTGCATGCACACATACATGAAGTGGTGGTTTGCTAAAGCATCTTCCTCTTCAACCCTTGTCTCATGAGGGAGGATGAGCCACGCACAGAGAAAGAGAGAGAGATTGAAAGCAGCAGGAACTAAAAGCCTCTCTCATGGACAAAACTCTTCCTTTTTTCTTCACAGCTTAATAATAGAGTTTCTCTCTTTTTGCAAGAGGTGTTTTTTTAAAAAGATAATAAAAATGAGGAAATTGAGGAAGGGAAACTTTGTTACAGCTTAAGGCAATTCTTTGAAAAAGCACCTCCTGCAAAGCTATAAATACAACTGCAAGCAAGTAGTAAACAAGGCTTTTTCCATCTCCCTGTGCCACCTACTTAAACTGAACAGTCTCAACCTCTCCTGTGTGACTTCACAGTGATTGAATGCAAATGAAATTTGTATTTCCCTTGCTGTGTAGTCAGACCTTTGGGCAACTAATGCCTAATGGTGCACATATTGGCCAGAATCCTGTTATGCTGTTATGCAAACATGGTAACTTTTGAAAGTGAATTGATATAAGTTAAGAAATCTCTGTAGACATTTGTGGCATACTAAGTTGTGTTACTGCATGTAACAGATAATGCCTATGGAGATATTTTAACTTACCGTAATTCATGTCTGAAGAGGATTATGTTAGTGTAACTGCAAAACATTGCAGTAACTAAATTGAGTTGACATGTTTTTTAGATGTTTTTTAATTCTTGTTTGCCTAATTGCCTTTCTTAGTACAACTTACTAAATTTTAAACTGTTATGTAGTTTTAAATGATTATGAGCCATTTTGGATCTCAATGAGTAGACGTTGTCTAGAGGGGCGGGGTAAAAATCGAATAAATAAATAAATAAAAATACATTCATTATATAAATGAAATTAATTAATAATTAACCTTTTTCCCCTCAGGGAGGGGAATTGGGGAGGGGCAAATGGAAAACTGACCTTTGTTTCTGCTTCTAAGGATTTAACTGCACACTTAAGGCATGTTCCCCCTCCCCAGTATTGTTGTATACAGAGAACTGGGCTGTGTCACATCATAGAGTGTTCAGAAAGATCCAGGGTCTGTACAGGCAAGAGCTGTCCTCTCTGACTGACAGCAATTGCTCTCCAGACAGGATCCCTTCAGAGCTCTTCCTCTATATCCCTGATATTCCCTGGTGATCTCCTATCCAGGCACTATCTGAGCCCCAACCATACATAGCTTCTAAAATAAGACATGATCTGGTCTACTCAGATTGGCTCACCCTGATGGTTAGCTGTTACTGTGCCCACAATATTTTGCTGCCACTTGAAGTTGGCAGGCAAACAATGATAATACCATACCATGTGTTCTGCTAAATTTTGACATTGAAGAGGGTGATGGGGAGTAGGGGCTGGTGACATTCCTCTTAATGTTTAATTAGGTCCTAGTTCTATCTTCCTTTCATCCTTGTTCTTTCCTTCCAGGGGGCGTTTCCCTTCTTTGTCAATGCCACCTGTGGCACCACCGTCCTAGGAGCCTTTGATCCTGTGGCTGAGATTGCAGATGTGTGTGAAAGGCATAGGATCTGGCTCCATGTGGATGTAAGTACACCATGCAGTGGTAACACCCCCCCCCTTGATCCTTGAGGATGGTGTAGGAAGCCAGATGGGAAATGGGAAATAATCTTTGGGCCTTTAGATCCTGTATGCTATCAGACTAGGGCACTGAAAGACGGATGGTAATGTATGAGCCAGGATCCTGCCTCACCTAGTGCTCATGTTCTGCCGGCGCATGTAGGCTTTTCAGGTTTTTCCCCTACTCAAGCTTCTTCTGAAATGGCTTTAAGTCTCCAGGAGGGCTGCAGTCAGAAGGTAAAACCAGCCGTTTCATCATGCACAGACACAAGAACTGTGGCACAATATATGCAGATGTCTTTGGATTTTGTTCGGTGTTTTGTAGAATTGCTTGCTAACGTCATCTCTCTGCTAGTCATGTTCTCTTGTATTAATTTTTTTAAATCCCTTTCCTTTTGGACCCTGGTCACAAGATCTTTCTCACACACAGACACAAGGGACAGCCTTCTCTAAAGAGAAGCAATTCCACTTTGTCTGTGTATTATATATGGCCTTCATACTTGGTGCAGAGATGATGGAGACTGGCCTAATCAGACTGATGAGGAAAAGGGAAGGGGTGAATCACTAGGGGATGTGCAGCAGGCAGGCCTTCTGAGAAGGGCACCTACTGTTTAATCATTGGTGTCAGAAGAGGGAATGAAAAAATTAAAAGTTTTGTGGGAAAGAAAATCAAGGCAAAGGAAAAGTTTAAGAGGAACAGACCGTGCATACAATGTATGCCTGAATTTTGGTGTAGAATTCCATGTCTTGAGATGTTTTCACATTTCAAAACACGTTTCTAGTCTTCATGACTGAAGTGATGACAACTTATTTACTTACATCTCTGTTAACGTTTTCTGGGTTGTCAGTGGAGGGTGAGTATTCATGGCTGTTGCTTTGAACTAACCTTCCTGGTGAGTATCCATAGCACTCTGTGACAGATCTAGAGCTGGAGTTCAATGGATGCTCTTCAGGTAGTTCCAGACTGGGAATTCTGATCACAGAAGTGCCTCATCAACATGATGGTAGTTCAGGAGAGTTCTCAAATGCTCATTTATCCTTCTTACTTTCCCAAAGGCTGCGTGGGGCGGCAGTGCCCTTCTTTCCCAAAGACACCGGCACCTTCTGGATGGGATCAAGAGGTAGAACACCATTTCTTCTAAGGGGATAGGTGACATGTGCATCAGTGGGAAGATGTAGTCAGGATTGGTAGGCTGGAGGCATGCAGGGAAGAGCCTTGAAGCAGCTCAGTCTGTACATGAGGAGTAGGAGCCAATTTAGTAACTTTATGGAACTAGATAGATCTCCTCAGAAAGTTAGGAACTGCCGCTCAGTCTGTACATGAGGAGTAGGAGCCAGTTCAGTAACTTTATGGAACTAGATAGAAAGTTAGGAACTGCAGTGCCACACCTAGCCATCTGCAGGGGCAACTTGGTTGTGTGGCAAAGAATAGTCAAACAGCGCCCTCCTTTGGCAAGCCATGGTAGCTCACACAATGTAGTTGCCCTGGGGTTTCACTGCGTCTCCACGTTTATTGATCCTTAACGTCTTATTCTCTTTTGTGTGTGAAGCTGCTAGATAAGGACCAGCTATCACTAATGGATAATCTCTTGGGAGTAAGTTACAAGTAAGATGGTTATCTGTCATCAGTTACTTGTTTGTAGTGAGAGTGCAGTGATATTATTTATTAAAAATAATACAAAAGTACAAGCAGTATTATTTTGAGGAGAATGCAACAAGAAACCTTTTCTAGTTATTTTCAACACTACTGTGAAAGGATGTTTTTCAAGGCAGTTTGAATAGAATTTTATGCCATGTTCTTATCAAGCATTCCACACACACCCTGAAGTAACAAAAAGCAGTGAAAGCTAGGGACTTTAGTTTTGTGGGGTAGTAAAGAATTTGTTTTGTATTTCTACTCAAGCTTTGAAGAGCCAACCAGTTTGTGGGAGATAGGGCTCAGCATCTTGAATTGCTCCTATAAAGTGTGGACTGAAGTTTGGACTAAAATACAAAACAGATTCCTTGCCCCTCACAAAACTGGAGTCTCCAAACTCCATGGAGCTAAGGAGTCACTCTCCCCCATCAGGACCATTCAATCACAACAAATGTTGACATACTATCAATCCCAGAAAAACATAAACATCCCAAAACTCACAGATGTACTTGGGGAAGTTGACAGTCAACTACATGAGCTTGTCAGCATTTCTCCGCTTGCTTAAAAGGCGGAGAAACACAGAGACAAATGTAGTTGTGAATAGATACATTTAGAGGCATTCACCAAATTCTTTTGGGATGTTTAGCATCAACATGTGACTTCACTTCACAGGTCACTGCTTTTGGATGAGCCTATTTCTACTCAAGCTTTGAAGAGCCAGCCAGTTTGTGGGAGATAGGGCTCAGCATCTTGAATTGCTCCTATAAAGTGTGGACTGAAGTTTGGACTAAAATACAAAACAGATTCCTTGCCCCTCACAAAACTGGAGTCTCCGAACTCCATGGAGCTAAGGAGTCACTCTCCCCCATCAGGACCATTGAATCACAACACATGTTGACATACTATCAATCCCAGAAAAACATAAACATCCCAAAACTCACAGATGTACTTGGGGAAGTTGACAGTCAACTACATGGGTTAGTCAGCATTTTTCCGCCTGCTTAAAAGGCGGAGAAACAGAGACAGATGTAGATGTGAATAGATACATTTAGAAGCATTCACCAAATTCATTTGGGATTTTCAGCATCAACATGTGACTTCACTTTACAGGTCATTGCTTTTGGATGAGCATGGTTTACTTTGAGGATGACACTTCATTATTATCTCATTTTCCCTGCCCCTCCATCGATTTCTCCCATTCCTGCATGGCTTCTTCATGCATTTTAGGATATTTGTCTGTGCAACCAGAGTCACACATAAATACACACTTGTTTTTCTGTCTCCCATTCAGGGCTGATTCAGTGGCTTGGAACCCACACAAAATGCTTATGACTGGGTTGCAGTGTTCTGCCTTCCTGCTCCGAGACAGCTCCGTAGGTATTTGATACCCCTCCCTTCCTAAACAGAAAAAGAGCCTTTCTGAGACTGGAAGGCTGGGGATGCTTCGATTTAACGAATCTCCCCCTCCAAGTTATATTGTTGCTGGGAACCAAATGCTGTGTTTTTGAACCTTATTTCTAAAAATCAATGTGAGGACTACATGTGTGATGCACATGAGATACAAGATTCATCAATGACCTTACTTATTTTGCTGCTATTTCTTTTGCTGTGTACTTCAGGGGAGTATTTCTGTCTCCCATTCAGGGCTGATTCAGTGGCTTGGAACCCACACAAAATGCTTATGACTGGGTTGCAGTGTTCTGCCTTCCTGCTCCGAGACAGCTCCGTAGGTATTTGATACCCCTCCCTTCCTAAACAGAAAAAGAGCCTTTCTGAGACTGGAAGGCTGGGGATGCTTCGATTTAATGAATCTCCCCCTCCAAGTTATATTGTTGCTGGGAACCAAATGCTGTGTTTTTGAACCTTATTTCTAAAAATCAATGTGAGGACTACATGTGTGATGCACATGAGATACAAGATTCATCAATGGCCTTACTTATTTTGCTGCTATTCTTTTGCTATGTACTTCAGGGGAGTACTGGTTGAGAACGCTGTAAATCCCACATTTTGATCACTGTTAATATTCTTCAACTACGTGTTTGCAGTCATAATAAACATCATAATGTCCCATCAAGTCAATTCTGACTTGAGCACCGCCTCCTAGAGTCGAACACGACTGGACAAAAATTGTCAAGGGGAACCTTTACCTTCAGAGGAGTACTGGTTGAGAATGCTGTAAATCCCACATTTTGATCAATGTTAATATTGTTCAACTACGTGTTTGCAGTCATAATAAACATCATAATGTCCCATCAAGTCAATTCTGACTCAGCCAATCTTTTCCAGGGTTTCCTAGGTAGAGAATACACAGAAGTGGTTTACCATTCCCTTCTTCTAGGGGCATCCTGGGACTATGCAGCTTGCCCAAGGCTACACAGGCTGGCTGTACTTATAGGGGGCATGGGGTACTAAAAATGTGTAGTAGGCATCCTTCAGTCTTGAGAGATTATGGTAATGTACTCTGAATAGAGATCTTGGAACAAGACTAAAAATGTAAAAATTAAAGTTGGCATTCAAAACATATTTAATTCAGTGCCCACATAATACCAAATTTTGCAGATGTGTGGTATTATTGAATACACACACTCCTGATCTTATTCTTATCACCAACATCTCAAGCCAGAATCTTTCTCACTATCACATAAGGGCAATCATGCAAGCTTCCCTCCAGCAGGCTGTGCTTCAGGCAACTGATCTCACACTGGTTCCAAAATTGGTTTTGCAGAAGGGAGCGCACAGGAGGGGGGAAATCATCACACAATTCCCCTTTTATGCACAGTTTTTCTTCAGTTAATTGTGGCAGGGTGGATTACTTCACGATATACACTCCCTACTGTTCAGCCAGCTGTCTCTTGGTTTGTTTGCATCTTATTGTTGTATCAGAATATTTCTGATCTAAATTGTTGCTGTGAAATGCCCTGAACATTTTGATTGATAGGTGGGGTATAAATGTTGTAAATAAAAATATATGCAGTGGGCCACAGTCACTGTGAAACACTGCATCTAAGGGAAACAACACAAGCGTTTTTTGTGCAGTTTTCTGCCAATCGCTTATGTGCCTGTACCCAGAACTGTGTGTAACTTGCACATGCCCCACTGCGTATCAGACAGCTGGAACAATCTTGCTAGCTCCAGTTAAGCCATTTTGGGTTTGCATTGTGCAAAACAAATAGGACTCTGGTCTTCATATTTGTCTTTTAAAACAAAAATGTGTTTTGACTCTTTTCTCACGGGCAGGGCATGCTGCAGAGGTGCCACTGTGCCAAAGCCACCTACCTATTCCAGACGGATAAATTCTATGACATGGCTTATGACCGGGGTGACCAAACCATCCAATGTGGACGCAAAGTGGACTGTTTCAAGCTGTGGCTGATGTGGAAAGCCAACGGCACCGCAGGCTTGGAGCGCAGAGTGGACAGGGCCTTTGCCTTCACTAGGTGTGCACCGAGGGTCGGTCTGGGAGGGGTCCCCTCAATTTGTCCTCACCCAAAGCATAAGGAATGGAGTGCACACACCTTGTTGTTTTGTTACCAGCAGATGAAAAGGACATGTGTCCCCTTTCTCATTTTTGTGCTCCTAGCTGCAGTGACAGTCATAAAAAGTGCTGCTTTCCCCTCTGCAATGTTACATTAAAGGAAGGTGTGCTGGAAACATGCACTTTGTTTTAAAGCAGATTCCCACTCTTGACAGTGTGAAACTGGCTTTAAAATAACCTGTGTGCTGAGCACACTGCTTTTAAAGAAGAAAAGTGAAGGGAAAAGGAGGCTTTTTGCTGCCTTGCTTCTTATGGCTTCCTGAACATTTTATATGTGTGCATGTCTGTATGCCTCTCCTCAACTGGCGGAATTTGTCCACCCCAGGACCGTGGCAGCTGGTGTCCATTGTGGGTGGTGGGGCAGAAAGCATAGCATAGGTCAGCAAAGCCAGGAGTGACAAGCTAAGTCAGGACAAAGCGCATAGTCATGTAGAGATCCTTACACAAAGAAGCAAGCAAGGATTCACATAGGCACACGACAGGAGAGGAAACACAGAAAGGACTCTTATTCTCTGTCTCTGGTCCAGAGGTAGGCAGCAGTGGACTGGCTGTCCATAACTAGAGACTGAAGTACCCTATTTCCCTAATGGCCCAAGACCCCTCTACTGCCTGATGTCATCTGGTATTCTTCCTTTTTCTTTTCTTTTTTCTTTTTAGGTATCTGGCTGATGAGATTAAGAAGAGAGAAGGTTTTCAGCTGGTAGTGGAGGTAAGGTTTCCTGGAGCTCCTGGACTCTGGGCCTCTAACCTGGAATGTATATTCATTGATAGAGGTCCGTCCTGGTGCATAGAAAGGAGTGTGAAATAACATTTCCTTTAGGTGCATTTAAAGTTCATTTTCTTCTCTCATGCTGTGGTTGGTTATAGTAAATGATTGTGTGCCATCTCATCTCTTTTTACCTCCAGATTGTCAGCTCTAACTGGCAGCGTCTCCCTGGAGGCTTCACTGTGGGCCTTTCTCAGCTCTGTTCCTTGAGATTCTTTAGGAGAAATCACATATGCTTGACTTAAAAAGATCATAGTCATAATTCTCTGCATGCACAAAGCACCTGCATTTCTGTTGCTGCAGCCCCCCCCCCCCTCAGGTCGGGATGAAGGTGCTTCCAAATAAATCTAAATCCTGGCATCTTTCTTTCTTTTCTCCCCGCCCCCCCATCAGCTTCTGTGTTAGCTATATATTACTTCCCTTGGTAGTCATTGTATAAAAACATTAGCATTCTTCACAGAGAAAAGACAGTTTTTGTGGGTATGCCCAATGCCTTTATTATTATTGTGTGCTGCCAAATTGATTCTGACTTTTGTTGACCCTTTCTGGGGTTTTCTAGATATAGAGTACTTAGAAATGGTTTACTCTTCCCTTCTTCCGAGGACACTCTGGGGTTGTACAGTTTGTCCAAGGCTATGCAGGCTGGCTTTTCTCCTGGGATGCATAGGGGCGAGTTAAACTCTAGCTCCACCGCAATATGTTCAAACCTACTTATATATCGCAATACCTATACAATACTGAAATATAAAACATCACACTGTAGAAGGAGTAGGGGAAGAGAAATTTAGTCCTAATCATTTCCTGCAGCCTGTTTATTTTCCTTCTAGCCCGAGTTCATCAACCTATGTTTTTGGTATATGCCTCCCAGCCTGCGAGGGCAGGAGGGTTGTGATGATTACAGTCTGAGACTGGGAAAGGTAAGCATTCAGAGATGGACAACTCATTTTGAAATGAGATGTTGGATGTTACAGGTATGCTCATGTTGCAACACAAGAATTTGGGAATAACTAGTTACAGGTAACATATTTACCTGTAACTAACTTTACTGCTGGACAATCAGCAATGTGATTAGTAGTTTAAAAACTACAGTAAATGTAATGATAACAAAGAATAGCAAGTGACCCTTCAGATGGTAATAATAAATATGCTCTATTTACTTTCAGATGTTATTTTTAAGGGAATTTGTTAGGTATTTTTCAGGTTCCATGACATTCACTTATGAATTCTAAATGGCAAGGAAAATATTCTTTGTGGCATGTTTTTGTGAATATGTACAATGTGCTATAGTAGAATTGGCACTGTCTGGAACTCAAGAGTACTTCCCTTTGTTTTTCTGACCTGCTGGTAATGACAACAACAATCGATTACTTAGTGTGAAAAAAATGATGAGAATGACAGCCTGCCAATGAGAAGTAATAAATAATGGAAACAGTTCCTCAGTGTTTTGAGGACTGTGCTGTACACTGTATCATCATGCACACACCTGACCTCATCTGATTTGGAACGCTAAGCAGGATTAGGGCAGGTTGGGAATTGGATGAGAGACTCTGAAACCCAAGAGAGCAGATGATAGTACTAGGATAGATGGACCAATGCTTTGACTGCATTATAAGGCAACTGTACAAGATCACTGTGACCAAAAAAGCATTTATTCTTCTACTTCAATGGTGGGGAAACGGCCCTTCAGATGTTGCACCTCTCATCAGCCTTAGTAAGCATAGCAAGTGATAAAGGATGATGGAAGCTATAGTCCAGCAGTGTTTGAAGGATCACACATTCCTCATCCATGTTACTTTGTTTCTCCCACACCTCTTTCACATACCACAGCTAAAGATGGGATGTGGGGGTCTGTGGCATCTGGAGTTGCATTGGATAACAATTCTCCAGTGAAAGAATCAATAGAGGGTTCCTCGTTTGTGGCTTGCTTATTTAAATGAGCCCAAAGCCAAAAGAAGCTGCACCCCAGTTTGGAGTAGTCAAGATGCCTCAAAATCAATGGAAGTACAGGAAGCTGAATACACATCTCTCTTGGCCAGGCAACAGCAGAAGTCTGAGCGTGTGGGTACTGCCCAGTTCAGAGGCTTTATGCTACCCACTACCTCCACGGATGGATGCTGTACACACACTTTTCTTCTGAAGGCGCAGTCTGTGACAGTCCTTCTACCAGGTTTTAGTTTCTCAGGCACCCTGCTCAAGACCTGTAGCATTTTCTTATCAGATCTGGGAATCACAAAAGGAATTTCTATGAGGATGAAGTGTCCATGGATTCTAGTAGATTTCTGACTTTCTCTTTAATGGGGCATGGCTTCTTCTGGTGATAGAATGTGTTGATTCCCTTTTCTGCCATTAGAAGTGCAGACTTAGGAAATCAGACTCACTCATGCTTCCTGTTTCCAGCACATCTTCAAATAGAGGAAGCACTATTTCAAGGTGAATTCATATATGCACACTGTTTATAAATCAAAACATGTAGGGATTACGCACAAACCATTATGGGGCCAAAGCTCTAGGCAGACAGCTATGTTCTCATCAGCATCCTTCCATCACCTGTAACAGAGCACTTGTAAACAGAGATGGTGCACATGTTGAGCTGCCTGTCAAGACAGGCAAAAATACAGTGGTGCCCTGCATAGCGAGTGCCCCGTTTAATGACGAATCCGCATAGCGATGCGGATTTTGCAATCGCAAAAGTGATCGCATTGCGATGTTCTAAATGGGCAAAAATCGCATTGCGATATTTTAAAAACAGCTGATCGGTGGTTCCAAAATGGCCACCGGGTAAACAAAATGGCCGCCCGCAGTGTTTTTGCGTGGTTTCCTCACTTACCAGGCGGTGAAAATGGTGGCTGGATGGAGGATTTCCGCATAGCGGTGAGTTCCCCCCCATAGGAACGCATTAAACGTGTTTTAATGCGTTCCTATGGGTTTTTTTGCCCCGCATAGCGAGGAATCCGGATAGCGACTTTTTTTTAACGGATTAACGTCACTATACGGGGCACCACTGTACTTCTTCCCCCTGTGTGTACTTAGTTGGCAGGATTAGGGTGTGGTCAGACAATGGGAAAGATGTGTGGCTGATAGTGCTGAAAAAAGGTTGCTTTGCAAGGAGCAATCTCCCTGCTGTCTGTTGGGGAGTCACTCCAGCCAGACCCCCAAAATAGTAGCCATATTGCTGGACCAAAATGGTGCAGCTTGAACATGGGACAGGGTTGGGCTGGAGCAAAATTCCTTGAACGTCTTGTGATCACTGGGAATCAGCTCTCACCACTGTTCCACAAGTGCTTCCAAAATGTGCATGATTTCCCTAAATGATTGCACCCTTAGTTAACTGTTTTTTTTAAAAGGATGAAACAGATTGAGGAAGCATAGGTTGCATCCATGTCTATTACCTATGACAGATCTGTGAATAACAAATGCTGCCTCTGACAATAGGTTTAAAAAGGGGGAATGCTCTGACTTTGATGTTGGTGTTTAATAATTTTTCCTAGTCATTTCCCTAGATATTGCTGGACAATAGTTTCCAAAACTCAGAACCTTTGGCCTAGTTGGATATGGTTGATGGGAGTCATTCTTGGTTACCGAGTGATTTCCAAGTGTTGGAAATAGAAAGCAAAATGCAATGTAACTTTAGTCTTAAACAGCAATATTCTAATGTCACTGGGTAGTACATTACCAACAGTAGATGAAGGGGCATATATGACTCAACTCCCAGTGAATGAGTTTTGCTGACTCTTCACACAGTATCTCCTGTATGTATCTCAAGGAAAAACCTCAGCTACCCATCAAATCTGAAAACAGACCTTTGCTATTTTCTTGTAATGAGGCATTTGGACCCCACTAGGTCATATATTGTTTGTATTCAAGAAGTACAAGTTAGTTCTTCTTCGTGGCCTCTGTGATTCACACCTTGGGTGATCCGCGCCTGCGCGGAGCCTCATCGGAAAGTTCTAGAGCGTAGCAAAAAACACATTCAAATAAGGCCCCTCCCTCCTTGTATAAGTATCTTGGCGCCAAGGCTCCCCTTTCAGTTTCATTCAGCTGCCGCATTGAGAGCCTCATAATTCTGCTTCTGTGAGTAAAAGAGAGAGTTTATTTTTGATTCCTTTCTGTTATCTTTAAACTTTTAGATCAAATTCATTATCATCAGAGATTTTTTCCTTTCTGTTTCGCTTGGCCTCCGGCTGCAGCAGCCCCCTAATCATTGCTTTTTCTCCTTAAATTATTTTTCTCCTATTCATGGCCCTTTTAGGACCGTTTAAACGCTGTGTAGTCTGTTATAACAAAATACCACTCTCTGACGGCTACACCAAGTGTCTTTTTTGCTTGGGAGAAGCACACCAGATGTCCTCCTGCCAGCATTGTAAGAACTTCAAGCACAGAGTCCTCCATTCTTGCTTATCCAGATTAAAACTCTGTCTTTGGGCACAATCCCTTCAACCAACCAAAATGGCCCAACCTCCTTGTAAGGCCACCTCACAAACCAAAGCAATGAAGAAGGCTCTTTCTGAAGCCTCCAAACAACGTCCATCGACCACACCATCCCACTCTGATGCTCCATCTACTTCATCTAAAACTTCAAAAACCCATAAATCGAAGCGATCAATACTGAAATCCTCAATATCGAAGCCCTCCCCTAAACGTCAAAGGTCCATTGAAGCCTCTTCGGTTCTGGAGCCTTCTCTGCCTAAAAGACCTAAACAGCAGAAATATAAAGCTGCAGTCACCTCTCAACAGCCTCAAAAAAAAAACACTGAATCAATCTCTATTGGTTCGCCTTCTAACGATGACCATCCCACTCTGATGCTCCATCTACTTCATCTAAAACTTCAAAAACCCATAAATCGAAGCGATCAATACTGAAATCCTCAATATCGAAGCCCTCCACTAAACGTCAAATGTCCATTGAAGCCTCTTCGGTTCTGGAGCCTTCTCCGCCTAAAAGACCTAAACAGCAGAAATCTAAAGCTGCAGTCACCTCTCAACAGCCTCAAAAAAACCAGTGAATCAATCTCTGTTGTTCGCCTTCTAACAATGTAATCCCCTCTCATCAATCCTGCTCCCAGTTACCGGAATGGGATGACAGTGTCGACTGATTAACATCTTCTCCTCCCAGTCCTCAACACTTTGTTCTTTTGAGCATCCCTTCCGTAGTTCCTTCACCGGACAGAGTCGCCTCCAAACAACAACTAGAGACCATACCTTATTCGGTAACATCTGATCATCCACCACAACCGCCTCAGAGACATTGGCCCCACAGTGCCTGGAGCCATCTTTCTAATCACGCGTGACTCAGATCCATGTTCAGCAGGTTGCCATTTACCCCGACCAGCACTCGATCACGCGTGACTCAGATCCATGTTCAGCACTCTCAGCAGGTTGCCATTTATCCCGACCAGCACTCGACCAGACAAACTGCAACTGCCAATCAGGCAGTTGCTCTATCCAACTTGGCCATACCTTCTCATGGCGGATCTTGATCTCGACAGCCATCACTGTCGAAATGGCTATATCACCATGATCTACATGGACTCCAACTTGCTCCCTACCTGGCACCTAAAAGATCCAGGACGGTGAGCACTTTTCTTCCATATGTGATGCTTCTACAGCTCTAGCCTCCTGATATTTTCCCAATAATCCAGATGAGGAAAATCATTCCTCTTGCTCAGCATCTCCAGCGTCTATATACTCCACTGCTTTGCCAGCTCGTCAACAACCTCCATTTCGATATAACCAAAACACAGGGTCTGATATCGATGATCCTCAATATCCATCCTGGTCCATGTACACTCATTCTGTCCCTCTATCAACGCACAATTTCCATTGCCTGATAGAACCAAGCCATCGACTTCGACATCACTATGACCCCAAGTTCGACACCGATGTGCAACCTTATCAAATAACATCCATGGACACGGATGATATATCTTGGTATCAAAAATCCTCAGCACCGACAAATGCCCATGGACATGCCAGCTTCATCGACATTGAGCCACAAACGTCAATACTATGATACTCAACCTATTGACACTGAAGTCAATCGACAATCCATCGACTCCCAACACAATCCTGATTATTCCGATCACGAACCCAGACCTCAGACGCCATCAGTATTACGTCACCGGAATCCAACCTTGTCGATGCCAACTCACCGCCACTGGCAGAAGACTTTATTATTCCGATCACGAACCCAGACCTCAGATGCCGTCAGTATTACGTCACCGGAATCCAGCCTTGTTGATGCCAACTCACCACCACTGGCAGAAGACTTTCAAATTTACGCCCAACTTGTGATCTGTATGGCTAAGTCTCTCAATCTCCAAATCCACCATCCTTCAATAGAACTGGCCGATCATCTATATGACCCAGTCTCTAAAGATACTACTACAGTACACATCTCGATGCTTCCGTCTCTACTCGGCACCGCTCAATGATCCTGGACAAAACCATGTCTAAATGAATCAAAAACCTCTACAGAGTCTGCGATCCTGGAGCTCTATTTCTTCAAAAACAACCAGCTCCAAACTCTATTTTTGTCAAAGCCTCACAATCCAGATCTCGACATCGACAGACTCTCATACCACCAAATAAAGACAGAAGGACTGACTCAATGGGAAGATGGCTTTATTCATCAGCAGCGTTCACCATGCGTGTCGCTAACTACCAGGGAGCGATCGGTGCATATCAACCTTTCCTTTGGGACAATATGTCAACCTTTGTTGAATCTTTACCAGAAGATTAAAAAGTACTCAACCATACCTTTCAACAAGAAGGTCTTTCCATTGACAAACAACATGCTTTCTGCTAGGCACATGGTGGACACCACAGCAAAGTCAATGGCCACTTCAATAGCCTTACGACATTTGTCTTGGCTAAGGACAGCTGGCCTGGCTGAGGATGCCCGTGTATGTATCGAAGACCTTCCATTTTGATGGGGCAGGCCTCCGTCTTTAATGCTGAAACTGATATTTTGGAAAATGTGCAAAAGAAAAGATCAGCAGCTAGATGTTGGGGAGTTTATCCATCTTACCAACAACGGCCCCAACAAAATCAGTGGAGACGATCATACAACTCGTATCAAAAATTCCAACCTGATCCTCCAAAACAAACATCTTATACATCCTATTTCAGAAATCAAAGAAATAAACTATGGCAAAGAGGTAAACTCTTTCCTATCAGCCCCCTAACTCTCCATCAGTTGATTTCTTCAAGCATCCAACAGTGAAAACGTTTTCTTAAAGGTCTATCTCATATCTATCCAGATACGACCCCGCCTTCCCTGCAATGGTCACTAGCACTAATATTGCAACAACTTACTAAAGCTCCTTTTGAGCCTTTAGCTTCAACTGATCTACAGCTACGACAGCTACTTACTTTTAAAACAGTTTTCCTCGGCGCCATCGCCTCAGCTTGATGAGCTAGTGAGTTAGCGGCATTATATCATGACTATCCTTATTTACATTTTTTTCCGGACAAAGTCAAACTATCCATGGATATTTTTTCTTCCCCAGTTGTATCTCAGTTCCATCTCTCTCCGCCATTTATCCTTCCTTCTTTCTTCCCGTTAGTCCACAACTCAAGAAAGAATCCTCCATGTTTTAGACGTTAGGTGAGCCCTTGCCTTTTACATCCAACGCACCCAGCCTTTCAGGCGTTCACCTCGACTTTTCATAAGTCACCAACCACCTACTAAAGGTTGCCAGGTGACGTCTCAAACTATATCTAGATGGGTCACTTCAACCATTCACCTCGCGTATTAGCTGGCACGCAAATCAGTCCCGAAGGTGATTCGCCCTCACTCCACCAGAGCAGTGGCGACCTCTATAGCATTCCTACGTGGCGTACCTCTTCCAGACATCTGCGCCTCTGCCACCTGGGCACAGCCATCCAGTTTCATCCGGCATTATAGACTTGATCTCCGGCAGAAGCCTGATGCGGCCTTTGGACTTGCTGTGATAGCCTCAACCTTGGCCTGACACCCTGCCTCCGGGTAAGACAGCTTATTAGTCACCCACAGTGTGATTCACAGAGCCCACAAAGAAGAACGACATGTTACCCACCTGTAATTGTAGTTCTTCGATTGGACCTCTGTGATTCACACATCCCGCCCGTCCTCCCCACTGTCACACCATTCTGCTCAATGTAGCGGTGGTTGACACAACTGAAAGGGGAGCCTTGGCAGCAAGGTACTTATGCAAGGAGGGAAGGGCTTTGTTCTCATGTGTTTTTTGCTACCGCAGAAGCTCTAAAACTTTCTGATGAGGCTCTGTGCAGGCGCGGATCACCCAGGGTGTGAATCGCAGAGGTCCACTTGAAGAACTACAATTACAGGTGGGTAACCTGTCGTTATGTGCCATCAAGTCACATCTGACTTTTATAGAGGCCCTAATAGGGCTTACAGGGGAAGACATGCGAGTAGTGGTTTTACCTGCTGCATTCCCCTGCAGTAATTTTCCATGGCTAAATGGACATTTGAATCCAGAACCCTCCCTTTTTATAATATCCTGAAGTGACACAATGTGTTATCACATCATTTCCAACTTTTGGCAACGGTAACAGGGTTTTCAAGGTACCCAAGATGTTAAAGGAAAGGTTTGATCACTGCCAATCCCCCAGTGAGTTTCCATGGTGTGGTGGAAACATGAATCCAGGTCTCCTGAAACATAGCCTGAATCTTTATTCACTAAATCACACTGGCTCTCTAAACACCCTAATAATTCAACCAAATTCTTAAACACGGTTTCTGCTTTCCCGTGGTTAGGTGGCTCCTGTTATCAAAGAGCGGATGGTGAAGAAAGGGTCTATGATGGTGGGCTACCAGCCACTCGGAAACAGAGCCAACTTCTTCCGTCAGATTGTTACCAATCCAGCAGTCACCAAAAAAGACTTGGACTTCTTTCTTGATGAGATTGAGAGGCTTGGCAGAGACCTATAGTGACATTTCCTCTTCTCCCTGCAACCAATTCTGCAAAAATGGTTTGAAACACACAGGAGTTTTTGTGTTTTTTTTCCCACTACCTGTTTTGACAAACCTTGTAAAAAAAAATCAGAGAAAGCTATAGCTCCCTAATGCTGTTAATTTGCTCTTCCTTGCTCTTCCAGTAAACATCACTGTTCTTCCAAAGGCATCTGGAATGTCTTCCCCTGGACTTCTCCTTCTCCTTTACTTCAGAGAGCAGCACAGTGAGAAAGGATGAGGCTGTTGCAAGGAGCTACCAAGAATGCAAAGCAATGACCATGGTTGAACCTTACTTTCTCTCTCCTCTTTTCTAAATAAAGGCTTGTTAAAATCTGTTTTTCTCCTATCCTTTTCATAAGAAGAAAACAAGGTGTAGCGATGGGGAGACAATGCAGTACACTACAAACACTGAACCTATACATGAGCATTTAATTGTTCTCCTATGCTTTTTAAGGTATTGCTTCAAAGCCTGAAAACTTACTTTGTTAGACTATAATTCAATACTTCAGAGGCTGGAAAATTAACTTTTTTATTATTATAATCCCGGTTGGAGGGGTTCTGCAAGTTGTAGTCTACAAGTAATTTATTCAAGATTGTGCAGCATCCCTGTGCAGTATCCCTCTGTGCAGTATCCCTATAACACCATACATGATCATTACACAGGGGATTAAAAATGAACTGTCTGCCTTTAATGAGCTTCCAATCCAAATCTGAGACAATGGGGAAATCAGCAAATGCGATTCCGAGTCTATTTACAAAGAGGATTTGCGGACTGGGTTGATTGTTCAACTTAGAGTGCCTAAGGAAGAGGCCGAAAAGCATTGCAATCTACACTCTCCTCCTGAACCACCTTATTGGAATGAGAGGGAAAGAGGGATGCCACCAAGCCCAGGAGGATCTCCAGAGGAAGCAACAACATACAACCCCAAACCCTGAAGGAACCTAGGGCCCAAGAGTTCCCATGCACAAGTCTCATCAACCATGAAGGGAAAAGATGGAAGATTGGTTTTCAGTATGGGTTTACAAGCTATCCTGGCTGCAGCATTTCTTGTATGCTTCCTCCCCAGATACCTCACAGATCAATTTGAAAGTGAGAATTAGTTCAGCAGAGACATTCCATGTGCCTGGCAGGAAAGTGGAGTAGCTTGATCATTTAAGGGAGCAGAAGATCTTCACTGATGGAATGGTTGGAGGACTTGAGGAGTGAGGATAGAACAGAAAACAAGGGCTTAAAGAAAATGTGGTACTGAGAATTTTCCAGGTAAGGACATGGAATTTTTTACTGGCTCTGGAAAGAGATTGGAAGCTAGTAAAGAGGTTCTACAAGGGGCACCAGAGGACTTGAGAGAAGAGTTTTTGTAAAAAGGTTGGGGGGTGTTGCATAAAACGGATGTAGAAAATGCTAGATGGGGAGTGAGCAGTTGTTAGCTTTCTGCCTTTCAAGAATTCCTTCAGATGCTGTTTAATAGGAAATCATAGGCCTCTCGGTCAAGTTGCACCCCCTCCTGGTTGAGAATGTGGTACAGCTGAGATGCAGTGGCCTTTTCTTTCTCACGATTCCTCCAATCCACCAGTGTATAGAAGGCTCTCATGGGGACATTGCCGGGATTCTCCTCTTCGATCTGCTCCAGGTGTGACTTTTTTACCCCCAGGTATTGAATCCCAATCTGCTTCCAGCTCTTGCCCATCTCCTTGGCCACCTTCATCAGCTCTTGGTCAGAGGCCTGCCTAGAAGGAGCCCCCAAACTAGGGCCTGGAGGAGAGGAAGAGAGAGAAATGGATTATGAGATAGATTCCTAGGAAATTTAGTTCCCCCCCCAAATAGCCCAGAGATTGATTTATTTATGTACTCATTTTTATATGGCCCATCTAGCAAAATCATTACTCCAGGTGGTGAGTAGTGACAACAACACATAAAGAATCATAAATTGTAAAATCAAGTACAGAAAGACTAAAACCATCCTTACAAACAACAACACAAGACAGGCAGCAAAATAAAGGTTACTCAAAATACCATGCGCCTCTCCTCCTTCCTCCTCTGTCCCATTTAACTGGGGAGAATCTGACCAAAAGCGTTCCTAAAAAGCTCTATTTCCAGCAGTTTTTTAAAGGTGCCAAGGGAGGGTGCCTTATGTAATTCTAGCATTCTAGAAGGAAGGTGCCACTGCTGAAATGGCCTGGTTTCTCATGGATATTTTCTGGGCTTCTCAAGGTGTTCAATGCCAGCAGGCATGAAGTCTGTAAGGACCAGGTCAGATGGACAGCCAAACTTGGCAGAAGACATTTTTGTCTGGGATGGAAAATAAATGAATAGCCATCATTTGCCTGCTCACTAAAAATCAAATCCAGACAAGGACATTTTAGCGAAATACAGTGGTGCCTCGCTTAGCGACGTTAATATGTGCAGGGAAAAACATTGCTAAGCGATTTCATCACTAAACGGAATTTAAAATGCCATTAATGTGTTCCTATGGGCTTCAAAACTAACCTTAAGCGAAAATCCTCCATTACGGCAGCTATTTTCGGTGCCTCTAAAGCGAGGCAACACAGTGGGCGGCCATTTTGGAACCACCGATCAGCTGGCCGAAAATGGGGTCTTTGCGACGATCGCTTCCCTGTGATCATCGCAAAGCGAATTTTCCCCATAGGGAATATCGCAAAGTGATCGCTTTTGCGATCGCAAAAACAGCGTCGCAAAGCGATTTCTTTGTTAAACGGAGCGATTGCTATGCGAGGCACCACTGTACTACTTGGGGCTTTTGTTAAGTTGTTTTGATTTTTTCTTCTATTGCATATATCTTTAGATACAGTATTCAGTTTTTTTTCTTATTACAAAAAAGTTATTAAAAGAAGCAAAGAATATTTCGGCTGACAGATGTGGTAAGAGCTATCTCTCTAGATGTCTTTTGGGTTTAAATGCAAGCATTATGTGGCTAGCGGTTTAGATGACATGAAAGGAGCCTCCCTGAAGATCGTGAGGGCTGTGAACACCTCCTCCTGGGCAATGACAGGACCCTGTTGGCTCACCCCCTCTGGAGACCTTACTGGATTGCTCCTGACACAAACAAGAACAGCTAGTGGCCATATCTTAACAAATCGTGCACTCTCCTGAGGAAATAGAAAAATCTCATGTCCCCTGCTCTGCAAAGCTGCCTACCCATGGCACAATATTATGGAGAGGGGGCAGGGGTATAGGTAGGGGCATTTTCCTTCTGACACTCATTCTAGTATACTGCCACTAGGGAAAAAATCCTCAGGTGTTGGTGCTGGGTGTGTGTTGTAGAGTAGATGACGGTTGGTGGCATTATTCTCACACAACCAACTTTGCACCCTAGTGCATACCTCAGAGATAAAAGAATGTTAATGGGTAATCTAGAGCTCACCATAAAATGGCACAAATAGCTGTGTGCCAAATAAATTTTCTGTTCCCTACCCCAAATAAAATTATCACAATTGCAAATACTTTTTTTTCACATTCATAGAATCATAGGATGAAAGAGCTCGAAGGGGTCCCAAAGGGTCATCATGTCCAGCCCTCTACCAATGCAGGAAATCCACACCCTGAAGCAGTGGTTCCCAAACTTGGGTCCCCCGATGTCCTTGGACCAAAATTCCCAGGGAAGCCTTCGCCACTAGTTATGCTGGGAGTTCTACTCCACGCACATCTGGGGACCCAGGGTTGGGAAGCCCTGCTTTAAAGCTTCTCTGACTGGAGGCCATCTGACCTCTGCTCAGCAATCTCCAAGGATGGAGAGTCCCCTCCTCCCCCATTCCCTCCAAGGTAGTCACTGTCCGAATGGCTCCCATCCTAGGGAGTCCTTCCCCACGTTTACTCGAAACCTCCTTTCCTGTAACTTGAAGCCATGACTTCTGGTTCTGCCTTCCTGAGCTGCAAAGAACAAGCTTGCTCCATCTTCCCTTCAGATACTCCCTTCTCCTCTCCAGGCTAGCTTGCTGATTACACTGGTAGAAGGACTGGTATCAGAACTGTGTTTTGCTGCAATTGCATTGATGTTAAGAAAATTGATCATATGAAGCACAGTGGATCTCATTCTCCCCCCCAAAGCCCCAAATGCATGTTATTCTTTTCAGAAGTATGTAATTTAGCCTCCTCCTGGCAGAGTCAGTTTATGTTCACTCAGGGTTAAGTCACAACAGAATGCCTTGAATTGCCCAGTGCGCCCTCCTCCTCCCCCTTCCCAGTCTCCCTCTGCCACTTTACTCCTTGCCTCCCTGTCCCCTCGCTTGCCCTGATCACCACATGCCAGCACTCTCACTTGCCTCCCACTCCCCTTCATTTCTGTGTTGCATTCAGTGGATACAAATAGGACTTTTCACTTGACAGTGTTTGGGGCCAGATCTCATGTTAAAATCATGGGGATTCTGGAGGATCCATGCTTGGATTTGTGTTTTAAACCAGTAAAACCCACCCCACATTTCTGTCTGGTATTATGTGGAAACAGCTGGAGGGACAGAAGCAGCCAAGCTTTCAAAAGGGACAAGCAACCTTGCCCTCTCCCTCCCTCCCGCCCCACAGCAGTTGGAGCAAATGGCCAGCGTGAGGGCAGAGTGGGCAAGCCTCAAATGAAACGATTTTAAAAGCCATTGTAGACTCCTCAACTGAGATACAACACAGCTTTAAAGCTTATTAGAAGTTTTCCCAAGAGCAGTAGAAAATGCAGCACCTTAACCACTATCTCCAGTAGACACAGACAGCAGTTAATATACTGTACCATGTGATTGTCACATGACTTTAGAGCACAGCAAAAGAACTGTGCATACTGAAGGGTTAATCGCTAATGTAGATAAATCCCAAACCTGCCAGGTTCTCTCCACTACGGTTTGGTTTCTAAACGTCTTACCATCCTGCCTGCCCTCCTTGGGACATGTTCCAGCTCCACAACTGCAGGGGCACCACATCTTCTGTCTTTTCTTTAACTGGCCGTGGCTCAAACATAAGGCTCGACTCACAAGGCTTCTAGTCTGACCCATCACTGCTTTTTTAATGCTTCAGATACAGGGAATGGGAAATCTGGATGGAGACTCCATTTTGGCACTATTGCGGAAGTCCAAAGTATTAAGCTCACAGTCTGGTGGCACTTTGGGACTCATCTCCCCTGAAGTTCGGAAATGCCTGGTGGGGGAAGATGCCAATCTAACCTAATTTTTGCACTTCCTCTCCTCTCTCTTTGTGTACCATCCCACCTAATGAAGAATCCTGTCAAATCCGAAAGCTTGCTTATCGTTCTGTGACAAAACTCCCTTGGTCCTACTAAAGACATTGCCCAGCTGTAGGTTTTGGTGGACTTTTCTATATCTTTCTTATGAACCATCATGGAATACCTCTGTTTAGATTGTCTTGCATTTGTTGAAATCATTCCATAAACTAATGCCACCTTCTGTTGGTGTCCACAGGAACATATACTGCTCACAGGATTGCATCAGTGCCAACGTAGCCCCGGGGCTGCACCCAGGATAAAAAAATCCCACGTCTGCCACCCTCAGCAGATCTGTGCTTGCCGGCTCGGACCGGGACCAGCCCAGACTTGTGCCGCCTACTCACCGGGCGCTGCTGGGGTTTCCCCCATCCTCAAAGTCACCCCTCCGGTCCTCTCCCTGAGGCTCCCTGCCCCTTCCTTTTCTCCCCGGAGAGCTCGGAGCAGATCCTTTCTGGGGATCTTCTCGAGGATGTCGGCGGTGACTTCTAAGGCTCTCTCGGGGCAGTAGCGCAAGAGAAGCTCGGCCAACTTGACCGGCGGGGCGCGCTCCAGCTGGCCGCGCGGGATGGTGCCATTTAGGTAGAAAACAAAAGTGGCGATCTCGGCCTCGTTCAGGTCCTCTAGAGTCCGCAGCAGGCGCCCTCTCACATCCATGGGGGCTTCTCAGCTCCTGGGAAGTCTTGGGACGGGGGCGGGAGGCAAGCCTTCGGGGGGGGGCGACGGGCCCCAAGCACCCCAAAGCGATTTCCCGAGGCGCGCGCAGCAACCTGGGCGCAAAAGCCACCGCGTAGCCGGAGAGAAAACAAAGGAAGCGCGCGGCAAGGCGGGGCTTCCTGCTTGCCCTCGGTTTCGCGCTCTTTCCGCGGGAAAGGCAGCGGAGGAGAGAGAAGTGGCTTCAACAGTTACGCGGTCTAGGGCGACGTGTATGTGTGTGTGTGTGTGGGGGGGGGAAGAGATGCCAAAACTGGAGGCTTGTGGTGGATTAGCTGCCGGGGTCGTTTTTCTGTACCCTTCTTGCTGAGTTACAGAATCCTCCCTTCCCCCGCCCTTCTTGCAGAGTTACAGCATCCTCCCTCCCTCCCTTCCCTCTCCCTCTTCCTTCCCCCCACCCGCCTAGACTTTTACCTCCGATAGTCTGGTCCACTTGGGGAGTCTTGGGGAAAAATCTTGCCTCGTTTTCTGTGGGAAGACGAAATAGGATCTACAGATCAGGCCAGTAATCCCGGTTTGATTATAATATGATTCGGATCCCAAATTAAGTCTGGGCTCTCCGTGGAAGCATAAATGGTGAAACCGAAGGCTGCTCTGCTCTGGGCACATCATGAGGAGACAAAGACCGGCTGGAAAAGACCACGTAGTGAGGGGAGGAGAGAGAGGACAGACCCCCTGGTGATTCTTTGTTTGAAGAGATGGGACCCTACTGGACTGAGGAGTTTCCACCAACCACAAACTGTTTGCATGCTGCTTAAGAATGCTTGCCTGGCATGAACAACAACCATCCCAAGAAAGTTTGAAAACAGCCTAATGAAAAGGGTCAAATTACCACTGAAAGCTTGTGATGTACTTGATTTTTTTATATCAGGCAAAATCCAAAGATACAAAACTAAAACAATATAAGACTATTGTATTTTAATGTACAGTACTGTATAATGATTTTAAAGTCATCTAATATAGATGCCCCCTGCTTCTATATTGCATTACAATATGTTTTCTTTAAAGAGTCTCTGGAGTCCAGCCTCTGTCAAGGAGGCACCATGGGGAATCAAACTCCCAATCTCCGATTCAGCAGCCAGAGGCCTAAAACTTTGGAAGAAAGTAATGGAGTGACTGTCTTCCAGAAAAGGGGATGTTTTGCCATGCATCTCTAAGGAACTGGCATACAATTTTGGAAGGATTTCAACAAGAAGCACAAAACAACATGGCAAAACTACAAGACATGGCACCTTAAAGACTTAACAGCTATATTTTAATGTAAGCTTTTGTGGAACACGGTCCACCTCATCAGAGATAAGAGTCAGAATACAGAGAGAAAATACAGGTAATACATTCAGGCAAGCTTCTAAGATGAAGGACTACAGGGGTGTTTGGTTGCATTTCACACATAGAAATTATTTAAGGCCTACAGTATACAGTATTTGGTATTCAGTTCTTTTGAAGCTTGGTCCTGTAAACAGCAACAATGATTAAAGGAAACAACAGCTGGAACAACAAGTTGTAATGTAGAGAATGATAGACTTACCTTTCAGCCTTGTTCTGAAAAGGTGGGTTGGGTTAATGGTTGTTGTGGGTTTTTCGGGCTTCTTGGCCGTGTTCTGAAGGTGGTTTTTCCTAACATTTTGCCAGTCTCTGTGGAAAAACCATCTTCAGAACAAGGCCAAGAAGCCCGAAAAACCCACAACAACCATTAGATCCCGGCCGTGAAAGCCTTCGCAAATACATTGGTATGGGTTAGTTGGGAAGGAAAATAACAGTTGATAGCAACATAATAATCACGTTTGGTAACAGCTTCAGAAACCTTGGCTAGTATTTATTTTATTTATTTATTATAAATATTTTTAACCTGGCTTTCTCCAAAGAAAGGACTCCAGGCAGCTGGCATAATTAAAGCACATTATTAAAGTTAAAAACAGTGAATTATTCTAATATTAAAATGTATTAATAACATAGTAAGTATGCTAGGTAAAGCAATACTAAAACAGATTTAGAAGCAGCAAAATGCAAAACATCTCATTTAAAAATCTCTCCTAGACATTCTGTCACTAAGGAAAAGCCTAAGTGAAGAAAAAGTTCTTTGCCAGAAGCAACGGGGCCAACTTGGCTTCCTGTGGGAGGGAGTTCTAGTCTCTGGAAGCAGTGGAGAGAAGGCCCTGTCCTGTGTCCCCACCACACACACCTGAGAGGATGGTAGAACCCGGAGAAAAGCTTCCCCTGATGATCCTAATACTTAGGAAGGCTCATAAAGGGAGATACTGTATGGTCTTTGAGATAGCTTAGGTAAAGGTAAAGGTTCCCCTTGACATTTAGTCCAGTCGTGTCCAACTCTAGGGTGCAGTGCTCATCCCCGTTTCCATGCCGTAGAGCTAGCGTTTGTCTGAAGACAATTTTCCGTAGTCACATGGCCAGCGTGACTAGACACAGAATGCTGTTACCCTCCCTCCGAGGTGGTACCTATTTATCTACTCACATTTTTACATGCTTTCGAACTGCTAGGTTGGCAGGAAGATAGCTTAGAGCCAGGCTATTTAGGGCTTTATAGGTTAAAACCAGCCCTTTGAATTGTGCCCAGAAACAGATGGAGAGCAGCTACACTGCCTGCCGATCTGGTGTCCAGCATGTGTACATATTTTATCTTAGATGTTTCTCTCTGGTTTCTTGTTCTGTAATTTTAATTCCCCAGAATAGTAACTTTCATATCTTGTGAAGTGTGCCCTGGTAGCAAGAATGAGAAACAGAATTTATTTTAATTCCGTAAGACAATACGTTTGACCTGCTGGGCAGTGTAATGCACTCAGGCATACCACTCAAGCCTAAAGGTAGAGTTTGTACCCCAGACTTTAATACCATCCTTTTCATAAAAATAAAATGTCATCTTTTTCGAACACAGCTGGCCATGGGGGGAAAGGGCAATAACGTGAGACTCAGGACCCTGAGACCTCTACAAGTGCATATTTTGAGACTGGGCAAGTCTACCATGGCAGCCATCTTATGAAGCCACCGACATTCTCGGCAGTTCAGATATGGCCAGCACTAGTCCTCAAAGGCAGATACTCTACATTGGACTTCACCTGTTGAGTAGATGGTTGAAGAGACGGGTTTCCTGAAGTCTTGTGCTGCAGATCTTCACTGAGATCCTGTATTCCTAAATCTCACTCTTTCAGCCCTTTTGTTCAAAAGCCAAATTCCAACCGACCAAATGATGATCCCTTAGAATTACCATTTCCAAGCATGAAGTCATGAGGAGAAATGAAAGGACCTCCTGGCTCCATGTCATATTTTTGCAAACCTTTTCAGGACTCATGAATTCTTCTGTTTGTGTTTGGGAAAGAAGGAAAATGAAGTATAGCTCTTTAAAAAACCAAAATCTATAGCAGAGATGTGAAATACAGTACTTGGTTTTGGGCCTGCAGCTCTCAGAATCCTACATGACAAACCATGGTTGTTGTGGAATTCTGGGAGATGTAGTTCAGTATCTGCACATTTTCCATCATTGACCCAGAGTATTTTTTTCTTTTAATTTCAAAAAATAACGGTATATTTTGTGTTGCTTTTAAAACCACGTCCTGCCTGAGAGCATAGTAAAACGAGAAAGCATGGTAGACTGGGAGCAATAGACCCAAATGCCTCATGAAGCGTGCAGTCTACTGGGTGGTCTTGGGGCAGTTGCTATCTTTTAGGCAAAGGTACCTCACAGGATTGTTGTGAATATAAAACTGAGTAGGAAGAATCACAGGTATTAAAGCCCTATGAAGAAAAAGTCCTGTGGGAATGGATTACCATAGAAAAGGGCTGTTGGTCTCTGCAGGATAGGTTAAATCTCACAGATTTACAACAATTCTGATATGTTCTGCTGTATGAAGAGAATGTGGAATTGCCAACAGCTGCGGGTTTTTCTAATTTTCTGTTTAATACGTTTGACATCTGCCTGAACCCCAGCAATCTGCTGGGTGACCACTAGATGGCAGCACAAATGCAAAATACGGTACCTGTTGGGAATACAGTACAGCACTGTCATGTTGCCTCCAATTTATGTTGGTTGATCTTGTGAAGGAGAGATCTCCAAAATATCCTAGCTTCAACAGCCCTGCCCTGCTTGTAAACTCAAGCCTGTGGCTTCCTTTAGGAAGTCAATCTTCTCTTCCCTTGCTGCTTTTCATCTTTCCCAGCATTAGTGTCTTTTCCAGAGAATCCTGCCTTCTCCCACAATGTGCCCAAAGTAGGACCACCTCAGTTTCATCATTGTTGCCTACAGAGATAATTCAAACTTGATTTGCTCTGGGAACCACTTGTTTGTCTTTCTGGCAATCCAGAATATCCACAAAGCTCTTCTCCAGCACCACATTTCAAACAAATCATTTTTTTTTCCTGTCAGCTTTCTTTACTGCCCAACTTCCGCACCCAACTGTGGTGTTTGGGAACATGAAAGTGTGGATGTTCTTGGTTGGGTCTTCAGTGACACATCCTTATATTTGATTATCTTTTCTATTTCCTTCGATGCTGACCTTCCGAGTCTCAGTCTTCTCCTAATTTCTTGGCTGTGCTCACCCTTTGGATTGATGATTGAACCGAGGTATGCAAAATGTTTCACTATTTCAATTTCTTCATTTTCAGCACTGAAGTTATGTAGTTCTCCTGTCATGATTTTTGTCTTCCTGATCTTCATCCTTTGGCACTTTCCTCATCCACTTTCACTAAAAGTTGTTTCAAGTCATTGCTGCTTTCTGCCAGTAAGATGGTGTCAACTTAATATCTTAAATAATCAATGTTTTTTCCACCAATTTTCACTCTTCCTTCATTTGAATCTAGTCTGGCTTTCCACATATGTTCTGTATACAAGTTGAACAGATAAGGATATAAAATGCATCCTTGTCCAAGACCTTAGCCTATAGAAAATAATTCTGTCTTTCTATATTCTGTCCTAATGGTACCTTATGGTCCACAATACACATTACACATCAAGACAATCAAGTGTTGAGGCACCTCAGTTTCTTTCAGAACAACCCATGTAGTTTCCCATGATCTACACAGTCAAAATCTTTGCTGTAGACTATAAAGCATACACTGATCTTTTGAAATTATTTGGTGCATTCCAGTAGCTACCAGATATTTGCAATATGACCTTGAGTGCCTCTTCCTTATCAGAATCCAGCTTGAATATCAGGCATTTCTCATTCCAAAAAATAAAACCATTTGTTGCAATATCTTGAGCAGCACTTTGCTTGCATGGGAAATTAAAACACTAGTCCTGTAGCTACTGCACTCCTTGTCATCTTCTTTCTTAGGGATTGGAATGGATATTGAACATTGTCATTCTGTGGGCCATTGTTTTGTTTTCCATATTTGTTGGCATATTCTTGTTAGGATTTTGACAGTGTCTGTGGTTTGAAATAGTTCTATTAGTATACCATCTTTTTCTGGTGACTTATTTCTTCTTCATGATTTCAGATCAGTTTTCACTTTTTTAAAACTGCAGGTTCTTTATCATAATTCCTTTTCAAAGGCATCCTTTAATCTCTTCTATATAGGTCTTCAGTATACCCTACAGCTCTTCTGGTTCATGGTCAACTGAGTTTAGTAATGCCATTCTGTTCCTTCTGTTCCTAATTCATCATGAATGTTATTAAAATTATATTTTGGCACTATTACAATTCTTTTAGTGTTCTTTTTCAGCTTTATACAAATGTCGAGTATTAATGGTTCATGATCAGTACCACAATCCACTCCTGGTCTTGTTTTGGCAGGGAGAATACACCTCTTGCTTCCAATTGTATAGTCTATTTGATTTCGATATTAACCATCTGGTGATATTTATGTGTACACCCATCTGTTTGATTGCTTTAACCATGTATTTGCAATAAACAAGCTTCATATAACTCTATGAGTCATTCTCCTGCTTCATTTCTGTCCCCCGGGGCCAAATTTTCCAATAACATTTCGTTCAGCAATATTCCCTACTTTTGTGTTCCAGTCATTTATGCTTATAAGCATCTCTTGTTTTGGTGTGGGATCAGTTTTCTTTTGGATGCTTCCTACTGTTACCAGGATGGATTCTGTTCTTAATGGAAGGTCAAGGGACTTCTATAGAACAGCTGAGAACTCTTAGCTGGTTTTCTGATCAAAACCTATCCATTTTTTAAAAACTGCAATGAAGAAGAAAATGAAACAAAGAAATTTGCTGGAAGACTTTCACTTCAGTGTGGCTTCTAAAATCAGACTTTACCAAAATCTGCAAAATGGAGATGTAGGAGAAAGCCAAACTGAACAGATTTTCATATGCCTGCTCTATAAAAAATGCAGCTTTTTGTATCATTGCCCAGAACC